AAAACTTTAACTCCTCTGAAAAACTTCAATATATAAACCCAACATATAAACCCTTCCTCTAACATTACCTACCTTTAAACCCTTCCTCTTTCTTCAACACCACTTCCCCTGTGTAAACCTTAATGGATTCCGGCAACAATTACGGCCAGGCTGAAGGTTTTGTAAACCTTTTAACAAGCCAGCTCCCTAATGACATTTCTTTCTCGCACATCATTGACCTTGGATCATCAGAGGTACCTGTGTTTAGTACACAGACTTCTGAGGCTCCAAGCGTAGGAGGAAAGACACCTGCACAAAGAATCAAGTGGACACCGAAGGAGGATGTCATCCTCATATCCGCGTGGCTGAATACAAGTAAAGATCCGGTCGTCGGTAATGACCAGAAAGCGTCTGCATTTTGGAGCCGCATCTGCTTGTACTACAACAACTCAAAGCATCTCGCCGGTCAGCCAAAAAGAGAAGCCGGGCAGTGCAAGCAGCGTTGGTGTAGGATCAATGATCAGGTTTGCAAGTTCGTAGGATGCTATGAAGCCGCTACGAAAGAGAAGACCAGCGGCCAGAATGAAAATGATGTCATGAAAGGTGCCCATGACATTTTTTTTAATGATCATGGCTTCAAGTTTGTCTTAGAACATGCATGGCGCGAGTTAAGACACGACCAGAAATGGTGCAGAGCCTCGGCTCTAAAAGATAGTGCAAGCTCGAAAAGAAAAAAGCTGGATGAAGGTGGATCGGGTCAGTCGTCTAACAATGTGGAGGCCGGAGTCCCTGATGCTGCAGAGATGCGACCACCAGGAGTGAAAGCGTCAAAAGCAAAAGCCAAGAAGCAAAACGGCTGTACAGAGGAGGGTAAGTTACTTCTCGAGTTCCAGAACTTGTGGAGTATTAGGCAAAAAGATCTGGAGTTGAAGGCCGAAATTTCTAAGAGAAGACAACAAGATATGGAGATGAAGTCAAAACTCGCTAAGCACAAGACCCTGGACAATCTCCTTGCGAAACCTGAGCCACTCTCTGACATCGAATCTGCCCTCAAGAACAAGTTGATTTCTGAGTTGTTAACTTGAATATCATGTTTTTTCAAGAACAAATTTGTTTTAGGATCACGAATATGTGTGTTTCAATGCTTGGATATGTTCGGATATGTTTAGTTGAAAGTCAGGGTCAATGTTACGAGTCTAATGATGGGATATGTTTGTTTCAAACTCATGTTCAATGTCATGTTCTTGTGTGAATCGTGAAGTGCAATTATTGACTTGTTTACATAAACATGACTTCTGTCTTCTTTTTCAGGCTTTTGTGGAGTGCTTTATGTGGGGCAAGAAGTTTTGGAGTCTTCTGTCATGAGCTACTCTCGTTTTGTTTACGTGCGTCACGAGTGTAATGTAAACTTTTGTGGAGTGTTTTTTTGTAATAATTGTAAATGATGGTCTCTGGTTGAGGTTTGCTGTATATATAACCAAAATTTTAGAACGAGCTCACAACAGATTCTCTCATCTACATCTCATTTCTATCTTCTATCTTCTAGGTTACAAAATTTTTTAACAACCTTACAAAATTTTTCCTCAAGTCCATCTAAACCCAGAAATACATTTCTTTCATCTTCATTTATTCTCGCCGACCATTTCACAAAATTATATCTTCTACATGGCATCTTCATCACACTATAGTTCTGATGCTTCTGATGACTTTGAAGATGATGAATTTGAAGATGCACTTGATGAATCTTTTAATGCAATATTTGAGCAAAAATTCGAAGAAGCATATGAAGAGATCATACAACGTCTAGCAACCGCCAAGAAGAAAAAGAAGAAAAAAGCATACATTGAACAAGAACGGGAACAAGGTCAAATCCGGTTATGGAATGACTACTTTTCGGAAGATGCAATCTATCCTCCACACATATTTCGACGGCGTTTTCGCATGAACAAGACTTTATTCATGTTCATTGTGGATAGGCTATCTGAAGAGGTTCCATATTTCCAACAGAGACGGAACGCTACCGGTCGATTAGGGCTGACATCACTACAAAAATGTACAGCCGCAATTCGGAGGATTGCGTACGGCTGTGCAGCAGACGCGGTGGACGAATACTTGCGTATAGGTGAATCTACCTCAATTTTGTGCTTGGAAAATTTCACATCAAGCATAATTGAATTGTTTGGAGATCAATACCTTAGACGGCCCACACCAGAAGATCTCCAACACCTGCTCGATGTTGGAGAGTCACGTGGCTTTCCCGGCATGATTGGAAGCATCGACTGTATGCACTGGGAATGGAAGAATTGTCCAACCGCTTGGAAAGGTTAATACACCCGGGGTGCAGGAAAACCGACAATCGTATTAGAAGCTGTGGCATCATACGATCTTTGGATATGGCACGCATTCTTTGGCCCTCCAGGTACATTAAATGATATAAACATTCTTGACCACTCACCTGTATTTGACGACATATTACAAGGTCGGGCTCCGAAAGTTAGGTATTCTGTGAACGGTCACAACTATAAGTTGCCTTACTATCTAACTGACGGTATCTATCCAAAATGGGCAACGTTTATCCAATCTATTAACCTTCCGCAAAGTGAAAAAGAACAAAAATTTGCCAAAGTTCAAGAATCTGTCCGTAAAGATGTCGAGCGTGCTTTCGGGGTTCTTCAAGCTCGGTTTGCTATTGTTAAAAATCCGGCACTAATCTGGGACAAGGAAAAGATTGGAAAGATTATGAGGGCATCAATCATATTGCACAATATGATTGTAGAAAACGAACGAGGTAACCGCAGTTTGTACGATATATCTGGATTCTAACAAGCAGACGGAAGCAGATCATCACATGTTGATATGGCGTATTCAAGAGATATGCCTACAAACATCAACAATATGATCGGCATTCGTAATGAAGTTCGTGATCAGCAAATACATAAACGTTTAAAAGATGATCTAGTGGAGCACATTTGGAACACAATTCCCGCGTAATTCACATCTTAAATGTATGTTCTACTTCAATAATTAATTAAAAGATGTTTGTATTGTTTAATGTTTTCTTATTCAATAAGTTGTATGTTTAAAATTTTATTATTCAATAAAATAATAATTTAAATTAACACAAATAAAAATATTATTTTATTGTTAAGAGACACCATAAAGAGAACACTAGTAGACACTACAAATACATGAATCTCTTGTTTCTTTTCTCTCCCCAAAAATAATACTAAACAATTGTTAAGAGACATTAAGTGAGTCTCACTAGTGGAGATGCTCTAAGACAGTTTTGTTTTTTTTCTTAAACCCTGAAGTATCGTTCAAATCACACTTCCGATCATCATAATCTGCAAAAGGCAAAAGCGTTGGTTTTGATATCCGTTTTTCTTTAGGGTTTTACATTTCGCTAAACCTCAGCTTCCAATGCCTCGTTCCATCCTTAGGCGGCCGTTAAAATCCCTTCCGAGAATTTTTTTCACTCGCTCCTTGCCTTCTCTCGCCAACTCACCGGCGGCTTCTTGTTCTACGTCGTCTACGTTGCTGAACCGTTCCCGTCCTCTCGTTGCCGGATTCTCCACAATGGTCCGTGCAGGTCTATTCTCGGCTAGGGATCTGTCGACGCCAGCTACTTCGCCTTCACTGAATGACACGAACCCTACCTCGTCGAGTTTGGTCGCTGGTTGTGATTTCGAGCATTGGCTTGTCGTCATGGAAGCGCCTCAAGGCAATCTCACTCGAGACGAAATTATTGATTCCTACGTCAAAACCCTAGCTCAGGTCGTTGGCAGTACGTACATTTCTAAAATATTACTCCATCCATTTCAAAAAACGTGTCGTTCTGACATTTTTTTTTTTCTAAAAAAAAATGTCGTTTTAGAATTCCAATGTAATTTTTAACATAAAAAACCATTTTTAACCTCAATAAATTCAGAAAATTAATTATAAATATGATTCCAAGAGTCATTTTCTGCAAATTAATAAGGGTATAAGAGACTTTTTATCTTATTTCTTAATTTGTGTGAAGAATGTCAGAACGACACTTTTTGTGAAATCGTTGTAAATTAGCTACGAATATAAATGGTTGCTAATTACAACGAATTTACGAAATTTGATTTATGACAATCAATTCACGACGATTTGATTTTCGTCGTAAAATCGATACAAACACCCATTTACAACGAATTTTACAATGAATATGGGCATTGTAAATGAGGTGTTTTCTTGTAGTGAATTAATGTACTATATATATATATATGATCTGTTTCTCCTAGGGGTCGTTGTGTAATCCCATATATATTGTGAAACTCAGTGAAGAAGAAGCAAGAATGAAAATCTACTCTGTGTCGCATAGATGCTACTTTGCTTTTGGAGCTCTCGTATCAGAAGATCTTTCAAATAAGATTAAAGGTAAATTAGCTGGTGTTTTATAGTATTTAATTGCTTGAGCTATAATTAATATATTGGGAGTTTCTTACAATTTTATATATGTGAAATCTAGATTTGCCCAATGTTAAATGTGTTCTTCCTGATTCCTACCTGGATGTAGAGAACAAAGACTATGGAGGTAATCGTGCATTGTAGTCACGATATGTGTTCTTTATTATATGTTAGTTGTATTTTACCACAAAAAAAAAAAAAAAAAATTTACATGCTGAGAATGGGGTTTCTGAATGACTCTTTTCAGGAGAACCTTTCATTAATGGAAAGGCTGTTCCTTATGATCCAAAGTATCATGAGGAGTGGATAAGGAACAATGCTGCATCAAAAGAAGAAACCATATGCAGTGATTGGTGTGACTGTGACGACTCGATCGATCCTATGGAAGCCAAGATGATTGGTGGAATTTACCTTACCCGCCTAATAGCAATCAGTAAAATGGCTAAGTAGTTATACTATCTTGTATAGGAGCTTTTCAATACGGAGCTAAAACTTTTGTGTTCAGTGTTCTTTAGTTGACACTCTGGTTTAAGAGAGATTGAGAGTTGGTCTACATAACTTCTGCTTTTAGTTAAAGAAGCACTCGTTCTAGTTATATATCCTGAAGTCTTATGTCAGTATTTCGTGGCACAACAAGTAAAGAGACAGTTCTATAGACTGGGAGTTGAAAAAGAATTTAATCAAAATCCATTGATCTCATGGCAAAAAGACCAAATCTTGATAAATAATCATTTCCACGTAGGTTTTTGGCGGCTTCGATCTGATCAGCAAGTGAGATATCTCCTCTTGTTCTCTCTTTCCTTATCAGTTCCAAGTCCAGCTTCTCCAGCTTAGCTGCAACTGAAACAACTCTATCCTTTCCAATAGCGATTTTACCAAGGCTTGTTTTCTTCTTGTGAATCTGACAAGACATTTATTCAAAACCAGTTAGTTTCTTATTTTGTCTGAAGCGTCCAAGCAATAGTTTCTTTTTTTTTTTACCTTTGTGAGTCTCTTCTTCAGTTTAGAACCAGAGGCAATGGTTGCATTCTCTTTGCTAGGCTTTGGTTTTCGAACCTTTTTCTCTCTTTGGTCTCTCTCTTTACGTTCTTTCTTTCGTTCTGCGACTCTCCTCATCTTCTCGGTCCTGGCTTGTGCAGCTTCTTCTTCTCTCAACTTGTTTTGTTCTTTTGTTCTTGCTTTCTCTTCAGCCAACTGAAGCTGCTCAGATGAAATCTCCTGTTTTGCATTTTCGTAGCTGTCCCAATGGAGTTCGAGTTCGCCAATCCCTCCTTTCCTTGCAGCGTCTGCAATGTTTTCTGACCAAAATGAAGTGAATTTCTCTTTTAGTCGCTTCACTCTTGACCTTTCTACCCAAACTTGTTTCACTGAAGCTCTTATTTTCTCCTTGGTTTCATCACTGCAAGAGACAAACTTAGCTTCTAGCTTCATTGTGGTGTATATACACTCAAAAACAGTTCACAAATCTACCTGTGTGGTTGTTGATGCTCAGACATCTTCTTCCGAACCTGAAAGATGTGAGGAAAAAAAAAGCTTGTAACTTACTTCACCTAAGCTCGAAAACAACCCAAGACACTGTAAACAATAAAGACGTACAAACAAATGTCAATTGCATGAGTCTTACTTGACTTCACCTTGGGATTTCTCAAAGCTTCAATTGTTCTCTGCTTGATTCGTCTCCGAGTGTCTGTTAAGAGGTTAATCAAACACATTTCACAAAGCCCTCAAAGGAAGGAGAAAAACGATTTTAGAAAGCGAAAAACAGATCTCTTTGTCTCTCTACCTTCACTGTGTTTCCTTCCTTTGTTCCATGGCACCTTTCCTTTATTTGCTAATCCAATCTTTCTTCTCCTTTCCTCTTCTTTCATCCTCCTATCACTCTGCTTATCCTCTGAGGAGCAATCAGCTTCAGCATCTTTGTCCATAGCCTGCACTTCGAAACTACCTGGATTGACTTCTTTGCTATTAAACTCAATCGCATTGTACAATGACCGTACAGTAGCAGCAGGTTTTGACTCCAATCGTCTGATAGATGCAAGTGAATTGGATATTCTCAATATGATGGGTTCTTTGAGATTCCAGTAAATTGCAGTTGGGAAACACCGACCGCATTGATTTGACTGAAAATGGTATTTCATCTCCATGAATAGCCCTCTGCCGAAATCAAAAATCAAAAATTTCGAATTCGATTCAAAAATAGGTCGAAGTAAATTCAACAACCAGTATCTGAACGATAAATTCATCGAATCTTTACACAAATCCAATGAAAAACAAACAAAATCAACCAATATTTCAACAAACGAAAAGTGATTTCGTCTCCTTGTTTCGCAGATTATTTCAAATCACAAAATGATAGGAAAAGAAAGCTCGAGGAAAGCAGATACTCACAAATGTAGCGACATTCCCGAACGGAGGTAGCTCGGAGAAAAACAATTTCCGCCCAATTTTATCGTTTTATCAAACGCCAAGGTACTTTTCCGGCTAAAGCCATTGATGAAGAAGAGTGCGCAGAGAGAGAGAGCGAGCGGGAGAAACAGATAAGGGAGAAGGAAACATTAATGGGCCTAATATTTATTGGGCTAGGCCTTTAAAAGCCCAATCTGTGCTATAAAAGAATCATATCTTCCCTCTTAATTACCTCATCGACCTTTTTTTTTTTTTTCTCTAGAATTAATTCTTTGTAACCCTCGTCTCGTGTACGGCTGTCTCTTGCTCGACTAGGGTTAAGGATTTTAGGCGAGAAGGTATCTTCTTCTTCTACACAGAAATCTCCGATCATGGATATGTTGAAGAAGCGAAAGCTCGATGAGAATGGCATCGGGTTTCTAAACGACGGCCACGTCGGCGCCGTTCCGACTCGATTGATGCCACAGGACGCGAGGAAGATCATCGAGCGGTTCTCTACCGATCAGCTTCTCGATATCTTGCAAGAGGCTGTTGTACGGCATCCCGATGTACTGGAATTCGTTCGATCGACCGCCGACTCCGACATCTCTCAGAGGAAGCTCTTCATCCGTGGCCTCGCGGCGGAGACCACCACGGAAGGTCTCAGGTCGCTTTTCTCTAATTACGGAGATCTCGAGGAGGCTATTGTGATTCTCGACAAGGTGACGGCGAAATCGAAGGGGTATGGCTTTGTTACTTTCAAGCACGTGGACGGAGCTCTTCTCGCCTTGAAAGAGCCGTCCAAGAAGATCGATGGCCGCGTGACCGTCACGCAGCTCGCGGCTGCTGGGAATCAAGGTGCGACCGCTCACGTTTCGGATATATCGATGAGGAAGATCTATGTGGCGAATGTGCCGTTTGACATGCCTGCGGATAGGCTATTGAATCAGTTTCTGGCTTATGGAGATATCGAGGAAGGTCCTTTGGGATTCGATAAAGTTACTGGTAAATCGAGAGGCTTTGCATTGTTTGTGTACAAGACTGCGGAAGGAGCTCAGGCGGCGCTTGCTGATCCTGTAAAGGTGATTGACGGGAAGAATCTGCAGTGTAAGTTGGCTATCGACGGTAAGAAAGGAAAGCCACCAGGTCAAGATGGTGTTGCTGGGCCTGGGCATGGTCATGGTCACGGTGATGGGATGGGTATGGTTCCTCCTCCTGGACCTTATGGTGCAGCTGGTGGCCACAGTGGACCTGGTGGGTTAGGTGCTTATGGTGGATACTCTGGAGGACCACCACCGCTTCACATGAATTCAACACCGTCTTCGATGGGTGTTGCTGCTGCTGGAGCAGGTGGCTATGGAGGTGCAGGGTATGGTGGTCATTACGGTGGATACGGTGGTTCAGGTACTGGTGGTTATGGTGGTCTTGGTGCGGCATCAATGGGTGGTGCAGGCGGTGGTTATGGTGGTCCTGGTGCTGGAAGTGGAGCTTATAGAATGCCGCCAAGTTCGATGTCCGGTGGTGGTTATCCCGAGGGTGGGCACTATGGGCATTCATCAGCTTCGGCATATCCTGGACAGCATCAGCCTGTTGGTTCCTCCCCTGTGCCAAGAGTTCCTCTTGGAGGAATGTACCCAAACGTTCCACCAAATTACTGAACGGTGAGATAGTTCTTCCTTTTCCTTTTGCTTTACCTTGCTAGTGTTAGAGTTTCTCTTTTTCTTTTTTGCGTGGTCCTTGCATTTTTCTTCACTTGTTCTTGCATAGTTTTCTTTGCCTGTTGCTTTGCTTAGTTTTGTTCGGTAGAATTCTCTTGTTTTTTTTCTTTTGATGTGCCTGCTTTGGGCTATCTGCTTGCGTTCAGTGATAGTCGCTCCTTTATGCAATGCCTGAGTAAGTGAGCATATTTATGTTGTTAGCATGGATTCATGTAATTACCTTTTTACTCACAACAGATAACCAGAAAAGTCGCGCCCTGAAGGCTGAACCCTTTTCTGGTGAATTAGCTGGGTAAAGTACAATCCTTTTAGGCACTAGGACATTTTTTATTTTCTTCATCGACTTTGACTTTCATTTATTAATATCAAAAGCTGTTAGTCTGTCTGCAACCATCATCATCATCGTTTGCTTGTTTTATTTCCTTCTCTTGTATATGCGTTTCTATCAAGCTTCAGTGTATGCTTGGTAGCGACTACAGTGTCCATTGTTTTCTGCTTAAAGTTTAAAATTTTTCTTTTGAAGTGACTTGTTTGTTAATGCTAATGACCAAATTGAGTTGTGAATGGATGTTGGATTCAGGTTTGTGACAGGGCGAAGATGGTTTTTGTGCTTAATGGTGATAACCTGATTGCAGCCTCTTTAAAATCTCTGGATTGATGAATGTATTGCTGCTTTGCCTATGTCTCTCTGCACTTGAACTGAAATGTGCCTTGGCCTCTGAATGCCTAGTTGCTCTCTGACTGATTAGAACTAGGATATCATCTTGCTGTATTTTTTTCTTTTTCTTTCATAGACATAGTCGGCAGATTTGTTTTGTTTGTCAGAGTAGTGAGTTTTCAATAATATTGGTGTATTTTTCTTTACCCTACTCTCTTTTATTGGTTTAATGATACTTTACTCTTTGTGAAACATTGCTACAAAGTTAGTAACTTGTCTGTGTTCTTTGTGGACATTCGTTTGGGGTTTCACCTGCCTGCAGAATACTTTACTTGCCAGAAGATTTGGTTTGTGAAACATTTTTTGAGTGGTTGATTCATAGGTTAAAAAGTGCTGAACATTTTAGCAGCTCTTGATTTACTGAGAAAATTGTATTTTGCCTTGACACTTCTCGAAGAGCCGACTTATCTACTGATGTCAAAACATGACATGATAGAAGTTTCTTGAAGAGTGCAATTTTTAAGAATGTGTTTCTTGTTATCTTATGTTGCCATTATTTGACAAATCAATGTGATTTTTTTGTGTGCTTATATAATACCCAAATGAAGAGAGTTTACTACTTGGGCAGGATCTTTTTGAGGTTTTGTGTCAGAGATTTCAGACATTTTTGAACTTTTCATGTAATGGCTTTGTTTTGGGTATATATTCCATGGTTTGTGATATTTGACAATTTCTGCGTTTCTGGCCACATTTTTACGACAATTTGGTTAAATAATCTGTGAAGCGAAAAAAAGACTTTTGATCTGATCTCGCATCTTGTCCGCAAACATACTAGTCTTGTGTCGTTGTTAGGAATCATTCTGTGAAGACAGAGACTTTTGTGACCAATTCGTTTTCTTCTTTTTTTATATATTCTTTTTTACATTTTCTTTTGTCTTCCCTTTTATTGGGCGATTTGCGGGTGCGACCGAGGAGTTGCGGCAATATGACGTTGGCTGTGAGAGGAAGACGACGTCGTTACCAACTCTTTCTAACAACATGTAAATAGAATCCGACTTGCATGTATCCTTACACTTTGTACGATACGAATAATATCTTCACATACGCTAATAGGTGTCTTTTAAATCAACCAATTTGGGATGAAAAGTTGAAACTTGTAGTTTTAGAGTTTTATTTTTGCTTAATATATCTCTTAAAAATCATTTAATATCATCAAATCCAGATTTTTAGTATTTTCAATTTGAATATTCTTCTAAAAAAATTCATAATCATCATAAATGAAATTACGAACAAGATTTCGTATATAAGATAAATATTTTGACTAAATAATATGGGATGAGAATAACAATTTAAACAATTCATTATTTGAAATTACCATATATATTTTTCCTTTAAAAATAAATTAAACCAATTTTTGTTTTGTTGGGACAACAATTAAACCGAATTTGAGCTTAAAAGTTAGAACCGGAAAGAGACCTGGAAGCATTAAAAAGGCTCATCAACTATCCTCGAGTGTCTCGCCAGAGTTTCATTCACCACATAAAAAGAACAAAAAAAAAGCATCTCCTTAGATTTGCTTCTTCTCCCCCACCAGATTCCTCAGAAACCCTAGATTTCATCCCAAAAATGTTCAGATCCATGCTCGTCCGTTCTTCTGCCTCGGCGAAGCAGTCGCTTCTCCGCCGCAGCTTCTCTTCCGAATCCGTACCCGAGCGAAAAGTCGCAATCCTCGGCGCCGCCGGTGGAATTGGTCAGCCTCTTGCTCTCCTTATGAAACTCAATCCACTCGTCTCTAGTCTCTCCCTCTACGATATCGCCAACACTCCCGGAGTCGCCGCTGATGTCGGTCATATCAACACCAGATCTGAGGTAATTTTGAACTCGGTTCCTACATCGATTGCTAGATTTGGAGTGAATCGCTAGATCGCCTTTCTCTCCTGCTTGAAGACATCTCTCTTAGTTCTAATTTCTATTTCACAGGTTGCTGGATACATGGGCGATGATAATTTGGCCAAAGCTCTTGAAGGAGCTGACCTCGTTATCATTCCCGCTGGTGTGCCAAGGAAGCCTGGTATGACCCGTGATGATCTTTTCAACATTAATGCTGGAATTGTCAAGAACCTCTGCACTGCCATCGCCAAGTACTGCCCCCATGTAAGCCTTCTACCATCTCTCACCTGTTTACTACAATCATACATATCAAAAGGTTGATATTTTACTATTCTTAGAATCAGTATGTATACCAAGAGCATGAATTGTAGGGTGTAAAAAAGTCTCCTTTTGGGCTTAGTTTTCTATCAAAAGAGGACTGACCTTTTGGAGTGACTGTTTTGTTGAATCAGGCACTTATTAATATGATCAGCAACCCTGTGAACTCTACCGTTCCAATCGCAGCAGAGATATTCAAGAAGGCTGGTATGTACGATGAGAAGAAATTGTTTGGTGTAACCACTCTTGATGTTGTGAGGGCCAAGACTTTCTATGCTGGAAAGGCAAATGTCCCTGTTGCAGGTTTGTGTTGACCCTTGTATCCTCTTTTGTAATCATATATGTTTTCCTTCGAAATGTGTTCGAGGATTTTGTCTGGCATTTTAGCACTAGATTTGTTTTACCCTAAAAATTGTATGACAAGCCTGAGGTTTTTAAGTTGAATACTTGTTTGCGTCTGCAGAAGTTAATGTTCCGGTGATTGGTGGTCATGCTGGCGTTACCATTCTCCCACTCTTCTCTCAGGTTACATCTCATTTCCTCTCTACTCAAACTACGTTTGAATGTTTTATTTTGTCTCAACAAGTTACTCTGTTTGTAAACATTTAGGCCACTCCTCAAGCCAACTTGTCAGGTGACGTACTCACCGCCCTCACTAAACGTACCCAAGATGGAGGTACAGAAGTCGTGGAGGCAAAAGCAGGAAAGGGTTCAGCTACATTGTCAATGGCGTAAGTATTGTACTGGCCTTTTCATAATCATTCTCTCACTTTTCTTGAGTCTACATTTGATTCTTAAATTTCTGTTATCTGATTGTCACAGCTATGCCGGTGCACTATTTGCTGATGCGTGCTTGAAAGGACTCAACGGAGTTCCAGATGTTGTAGAATGCTCATACGTGCAATCCACAATCACTGAGCTTCCTTTCTTTGCCTCAAAGGTAATCCTCAAAACATAGCATCTATTGAAAAACACTATCCGTATCATATGCTCTCATGACTTAGTTGATGAATGTGATTATGATTCAGGTGAGGTTGGGGAAGAACGGCGTGGAGGAGGTTCTTGATTTGGGGCCACTTTCAGACTTTGAGAAGGAAGGCTTGGAAGCATTGAAGCCAGAACTCAAGTCTTCCATCGAAAAGGGAGTTAAGTTTGCCAACCAATGAGTAAACCGATTTTGACTCTTTGGTACTTTTCCAATTTTCCGGTTCCGTCGTTGTGTTGCATCAATAAAAGCCATGTGTTGGGTTGCTCTTTCCTAAGCACCAAGATATAAACCGTAACATGTTAAAGTTATGATTCTTTCTTCCTTTTTTGGAACAATGAGGCTTCTTTCATGAACAGAGTTCATAAGTGTGGTTGGTTCTTATAATCGATTAAAGGTGTTTCATATCTAGATTTATCTGTCTACCGGAAATGAAATCTTATTTTTTTCTCAGATTTGATTATTGTTCAGTTTGAGATTTCCAAAAGTGATTGACCAAAAATCGAAAAGAGAGATTTATCTGTCTCGTGGAGTCTTAGGGAGGAATGGTACAAAAATATCCACATTCACTGGAAGTTTTATGAGACCGTGCAATTTTCATAAGTTTTGGATTTGAAGTTACGGTTTCTTGATATTCTCCCTTAAAATTAAGAGGCTTGTGTGCTTAAAGAATGATACTTAGTTGATATCATGTGTTATGAACTACGTTGGAAGATCTAAACTATCCTGGACATCCTCATAAATACATCGTTGAAACTTAAGCTTCTTTTCAGGATTCATCTTTACTCATCCCGTAAGTAATCAAACCTAAAAAGAGTGCTCGCTTAATTTTGTGATGAGGAAATTAATCTATATGCATGATTGAAAGTAATTGGAGAATGCGTTATAACTTCAACATAATTTATCTTGTAAATCAGAAAACTTCTATAGAAGACATGATCGGAAATAAAACACTACGTGTGGATATTAGCATAGTTTGTAAAACAAAAGGTGCTCAACAAAATTTATCAGTTTTTTTTCACACAAAAAAACTAAATTTTATCAGTTCAACTGAAGAAACCATAAAATGTTAGTTAATCATTTTTACACAAAAAGCAAAAATAAGACAAATAAAGCGAAAAAATAAGCAAAAATAAGAAGAAAAAAATGCAACAAAAATAAGAAACAAATGCTAGTTCATCTTATAAAGTTCATCTAACAAACAAATGTGGAAATATGACATGGTTGTGTTTATTGTTTCCTTGTTTTTTCAATTAATTTTTTTTGGTAAAATTTTTTTTTCTCACTTTTTACTTCCACTTCCACGTTCCGCCTCCTTTTTTTTGGTGAATGGAGGCTGACGACGATACACCGTAGACTTGCCACTTTGCTTAAGAGTCGCAAGCACGTGGTTGTTTGTTCATGAGGTTGGAAGATCTTCTAAAGAAAATTTGGATCAATCCCAAGGATCATCATATTGAATTCGTCTCACTTAAAATTGTTTAGTATTGGGCTATATTGGACTGCTAACACTGAGCTGTAAATTGTCTTAAGCGACAAGTCTCTTGCGGGACAAGGTTTAGGCTAATACTATATCGATATGTATATATATTTTGTACAAGCGTTTGAAATGAATACAAGAATGCTCGCTAACTAAGTTTGTAGTTTTTTTGAGATTTAAAACTAAGTTTGTAGTTAACAAATAGTAATCTTTAATGTCCTAAACTTCAACATGTAATCTATATTATTATGTCATTTATTTCCTTTTTGCTTTTGTTTTGCTTACAATTTGCTTAAATTTGTTATTTTGTTTTGTTTATTCTTAATGAGAATGTCCTAATAGAGTCGTAATCCAAAATAATCTCTGAGTAATAGTGGATTGGATGAATACTTAGACGTGACGTGGAATCAGACGCGTGCAGAAAGCTCGCATTGAGGTCTCGGGATGAGAATAAGAGATATACTTAGTGGGCGGTTGGGGCTTGTAAATTGTAAAATTTCATTAGCTTAGTTGTCAAAAGTAGCATTCTTACTCCATCTTTACTGAGTTTCAGATTCCCTTTAATTTTTTTTTCTAGCTCTTTTTTATTTTCCATTTAATTCCTTAGCAATTACATATTTACTTAATTCTGTAAAGTCTTACGCTTCTTTCTTTTGTTATATTCTTTGTAGTTAAAATTTTGAAACGCCGTATTTACTTTTTAAAACAAAGCAGCATCCAAAGATATCATAATATTGTATTTCACTTCATTATCAACACTAAAAATAGTTGCCACAATTTCTTATTAAACTCTGAACTTCTAAGCACTTATTATATTCACCAAGATAATCAAAATGGCCACGGTCATGGATGTCTTTCTATAATGATAGTCGATATTATCAAAGAACACTAAAACATTTTTCTATTCCAACATTTAATAACAAAACCCTTGAATGAAACGTTTGATTCTTGCATGTATACTTTCAAAAATTGATGTAAGTTCAAAAAAAAAATTGTCTTGTTTTGGACAGTCAATAACAAAAGATCTGAAAATAATTTGGAGCTATATAAAGAGGAAAAAATATGCAAGATCAAATCTGATTAAAGAGACAATAATATGCTACGAATCATCGCGCATATATACAACAGGAAATTGTTTTTTTAAGACACACGTCGTCTTCTTGTTTTATTACAACGATTTCAAATAGACAAAATTTATTTAGTATAGTAAGCTTTGCTTTGTCCAGTTTGGATATGAGATTTTAATAGTCGAAAAAAGCTCACACGTACTGAGGAGCAATTTCACCATCCTTGACGATGTAATTCTGCGCAGGGAAGTCTTCCCCTTTAAAGAACCTGTCCAACATGTCTTTGGTCCCTGCTGCATATCGTAGCTGAGCATCAATGGTGGTGCCGGAGATGTGAGGAGTCATGGCTTGGTTAGGCATGTAACGCCATGGATGGTCCTTAGGAGCTGGTTGCGGGTCCCACACATCTCCACTGTACCCTCCAATGTGTCCACTCTCCGCCGCTTCAACCACCGCTTGCCTCTCCATGATGGCTGCTCTCGCATTGTTCACTATCAAAACCCCTTTCTTCATTCTCCCTATCATCTCTTTGTTGAACATTCCTCTGTATAAGAAAACAAGAATTAACCCATAAGTAGTCAAACGTCCACAGATAAAAGCGTTCTTGTACTCAGTGTTTGTCTTCATTAATTACCTTGTCTTCTCTGTGAGAGGAGTGTTGATGACTATGACATCACATTTGGTAACCATTTCATTCAGATTCTCCATGTGTTTAGCTCCAATCTCTTCCTCCAGCTCTTGTTCCATCTGAAGCCGGTCATGCCCAAATGGTTTCAACCTTTGTAAAAGAAGCCTTCCGATTCTTCCAGCTCCCACAGTTCCTACCGTCTTCCCTTCTAGATCATAAGCTCTGTGTGCAATGCCCGCGACGTTCCACTCGCCATTGATGATCTGCTGGTGCCCTGGTACGAAGTTGCGCATGAGGATCAGGATTCTCATGAGCTCGTCTTCTGCTACAGAGACCACGTTGCTTCCAGTGACTTCAGCAACCGTTAGACCAGCAGCTGCTGCTGCCTTCAGGTCGATGTGATCGGAGCCAATGCCAGCTCTGAGGAGAAGCTGCAAGTTCTTGGCTTTCTTGATTCTTTCAGCAGTTACATATGCCGGATTGAAAGGAGTTGATATTAGCACGTGAAGATCCGGGATATGTTTCTCAAGTTCTGTCATTTTATTTTAAAAAAAAGTATTTATATAATTTGTGCTATGCATTTATATTAGAAAAAAGGGAAGAAAAAAAAATACTTACCGCAGTTTGGGCCTTCTTTGTCATCAGTGACGATGTATTGATGTCCTTGTGATTCAAGCCAGTCGCGGATTCCTAAAGCATTCTCGACACAGCCAAGGAAGTTAGGATTCTTGGAAGCGTATTTGTTGGCCTTGTAGAAAACTCCAACAATCTTTTTTGTATCACCGGAAGATGCCTGTTTCTTGAAGGTTATTTAAATTTAGTACATATAGTTTAGTTTATGTATACATGTTTCAAAGAATATAACAAAAAAAACCTAAAGCATCTAAGAACCACAATGAAGACATGAAAGAAAAAGAAGAGATCCTTAGAGCATGTCCATTGGAGTCTCTTATAAAGTTTTGGGTTTGATATCCTAAGCAAATCCATTTAAAAAAGAAAAGAAAAAACCCAAAAGTTATCAACATGTATGCTAAATAGCATACTTAAGAGCATCATTATCCTTGATACTTCAAATGGGTTTCTTAACAATATTTTATTACTAAATTTAGATTAGAAAACATTTTTAAGAAACTTAATGGTTTTAATGGTGCATTGCTAAAACTTTATTGGGTTTCTTACTAAAAAACTTTATTGGGTTTCATATCTGTTAGTCAAGCAAAACACATCGGTTAAGCTTCAAAAAACACACATCAACTCACAATTCAGCACATCGGTTAAGCTTGATCAAATCAGCACTTTGGTTAAACATATCATATCCAATCAGCAAATCAGCACTTTGATTACACTTATCCAGCATAGACAACAATCTAAATCAAGCTTGATAAAAAAAAAAATAAAGGTTAATAATAGAATTGGATATGATTTACCGTAGAAATCATTTTGGAAATCCTCAACCTCTGATGCATCCACCGAGGCTTTGAGGGAAGGAGGAGAAAAGGATTGGAAGTGGAGAGGGATCGAAAGAGTTGCCGACAGAGATACATGCAACCGCGGCGGAGAATCCAAAAAGACGGAGATACATGCGGTGGGAGTTTCTGATGCCTCCACCGAAGCGATGATTTCATCATCGGGGTCTGGCAAATCGAACGGTTGCGCCGGAGATTTGACGGAGGAGCAGAGTCTAGTTCTTCGTCGGAGGAGAAGAACATCGATGTTTGAAATTTCTAGAATGTGTAAAACAAAGAGAGAGAATTGACGAAAAAACTTCTCTTTCCTTTTATTTGTTAAACTAATACTTTTATGCCACGTTGCAATAAGGAACGCTCCTTCTTGATCCCAAATAAGGATCGACTTCTGTTCTTTACACTTATTTTCTTAATTTTTTGTTTTTTTTAATTGCTTAAGAAACCAACCTCGAAACCGCGATATTGATGCTCTAACATATGGTCTCTTAAGAGACGTGGAGAAAGCTTATTGGCTTTTCCCAAAATTCGTCACTGTTCACGAAATTGTCACTGTTCACGGATTCAAAAAATAATATTATTTAAAAGTTAACAAACCCATTAACAGTATGACTAATGTACATGCTCTTACATGAAAGTGACGTGCCAAGTAACCTGAAGAAAAAGAGGAAGCACAGGCTCTGACCATTGCTCCGGTGGCTCGTTGCATTGCCATTTTCTCAGTTGATCTGTGAAGTCACTAATTGGAGAAGGGAGCATTTATATAGTATGAACCTTCACTGAAAAACTTACCATCTTCGACAAAAAAAAAAAAAAAAAAACCTCACTGAAAAATACGGTGGCTGTCAGTTTTTTTTACCTCTTGAAATTGAATAGTTGCATGCATCTTTTTGTCTATTAATTTTCTTATTAACGTAAACCTCCTTCGGTAAAAAGAAAATATTTTTTCCTTTTAGGAAAGATAAAACATTGAACAGTTTTATAATACTAGTTTAGTCGATTTTCTTCTATCTTTTGATAGATATAACTTGGAGAGCAAGATCTTGCAGACCAAGTATAATTTTTTGACATATTGTACAGATTTTATTTTTTTATTAGACTTAATTTTGAAAGTTCTTGTTTAAAAATATTTAAAAACAAGCGTAATTACTTTTTATAATGTAATAATATATATATATACTAGATTATTACCAGAATATTATAATTTAAAATCATATAAACAAATAATATATAAAATTGATAATTTATCGACGCAAAACCATTGATACAAAAAGTTTAACAAGCCTAAGTTTATTTTTATTCTCATATTTATTATCAAATTTTCAATTACATTTTATCATATGTTTCCAAATATTTAATTGTACAATTTCATATTCAAATCAAATTTATATTATTATTTAGCTACTTATTCTATAATAGTAACAAATAATGACTCCTCGTAAAGGAGTGATGCTTCTCTGAACAAGAGGATACCTAAATTAAAAGCATCCCTCCTTTCGATATTAAAATTTTAACCTGACGCATGCAGACTTTATCATACGTCAACATTCGTCTTTTCTTTTGCACTAAATTGCGAAACGGGTTATTGGATCCACAATCGTCCTCTCTACCTTTTTCACACAAACCCTATTATTAACATTTATATTCTTAATTCTTTAGTGTACTTTATAATCTGATCACTTTTAGTACTTGCTTCTAAACAGTTCTACATTTTTTTAAAAAAAAAATATTTAGAAAAAAAATTAAAATTATCCGAATTTACTACAATATTATTTTAAAACATATTTTCTTTTATATATAAATTGAATTCCGAAAATTAGATATTAATTTAGATAATTAAAGATTCCATAAATATAGGTTATTAATTCAAACTATTTTTTGTAATTAAATTTAATTCTGAAAAATAGATATTAATTTAAATTACTTTAAACTTCCTTAAATATAGGTTAGATTTAATTTAACTTTTGAAGTTTAAATAATATTTTCAGAATAACATATATGATTAATGAATACTTTACTATATTTTTTAATCATATTCAATTACACTAAAATTTTACATATTAAAAACTAACAAATATTAATATTATATAATGATTAGATGGAACGAATTAGATTTTTTTATAATTGTGATCTTATGCGGGTTGAGATAAAAATTATTTTCAAAATTAGTAAATATTTATATTATATAGTGATATGAACGTGGAGGTTAGAATTATGGTTTTATAACTACAGTTCTTTTTAGATTAATATAATGAACAAGTTAGATTTTTTTTTATAAAAACGGTAATTTTTTTATTAATAGAATGACCGGATTAGAATTATGTTTTTATGATCGTGATCAAAATAATATTAATTTAAAAAAAACATATTATGTCTAAACATAAAAATAAATTCGTGTCATTTAACAGAAAAATTATATCTATAAAGAAAACATAAATTACATTACAAATTTTGATTAAAAATAATTCTCGTGCGGATGCACAGGGTAAAAATCTAGTTCAGATTTAAATAAAACGCTGATACTAATTAACTTATTAAAGTTCGTTTTATTTTTGATTTCATATAAACCAACTAGCTTTATGACCAGACAGACACACACTCTTCCTTGGCCGCTGCCTTTTCTTCCCAAACCCCTAAATCGCTTCCTTTTAGTTTTCACTGTCGCTGTAAATTTTCCCGAGAAAATTGAAAATACTTTTCTGGACTGGTCAATTCCACATCTCTCTCTCTCTATTTCCTCCCTTTATTGGTTTCTATCTTCCATCTTCCTCTTGCTTCATTTCTTTGGTCTGCTTCTTCAATTCCTAAAAACAGAGACAAGTTTTTCAAGAAAAACAAAAAGAAAAGGAGAGACATTCATATATGGGTTAGCCTCAAGATTCGAGAAAGACTATTTCTTCATGTTCCTGGTCTATAAAGTATTGTTGATTTGGTGACAGATTTAGATTATGTTTTGGGAAGAGGGAGAGGCAATATGCGGTAATTAGATGCATTGAATTGAAACAAAGTGACTCTGGATTCCTCGGTGGCTAACGACCGCCGTCGCCGCCGCCGCAATCCCACCACCACCGACGAAAACGACGACAACCTTGAATCTCCTCAATATGCTCCAACGATGGGGAATGAGGAACCTAACCACCACCATCTAGTAGATTCGCAGTCGCCGCCTCTTCTCGCGATGACACACCAGTCGCTGTTTTCGGCGGTAGCGGCGACGGAGAACGGTGGTTGCGGCGAGATCGTGGAGGTGCAAGGAGGTCACATTGTCCGGTCAACAGGAAGAAAAGACAGACACAGCAAAGTTTGTACAGCCAAAGGCCCACGTGACCGGCGCGTGAGGCTTTCAGCTCCGACGGCGATTCAATTCTACGACGTTCAAGATAGACTCGGCTTCGATCGACCAAGCAAAGCCGTCGATTGGCTTATCATGAAAGCTAAATCCTCCATTGACGACCTCGCCAAGCTTCCTCCTTGGAATCCCGCCGATACAATCCGTCAAGCTGCAGCAAACGCTAAACCCAGGAGACCCAAAACCCTAATTTCTCCGCCGCCGGAGACGGGAATTCGCGGTGGCTCGGTATCAACCCGAGAAGAAACAGAGCATCATCGTCATCACGACTCGAGTTTTCTTCCGGCGTCGATGGACTCTGATTCGATAGCTGACACTATAAAGTCCTTTTTCCCAGTCGTTTCAACGGAATCTCCTCCGCCGCAGAACTATCATCATCAGCCACCGTCGGAATTTCCTTCACGAGCCACCAATAATACCCAAAACCAAGATCTTCGTCTCTCACTTCAATCTTTCCAAAATGGTCCGCCTTTTGCTAACCAAACAGAGCATGTTGAGTTCTCCGGCCAGAGCAATCCGTTAGGGTTTGATTCATCGACGGCAAGCTGGGTCCAGTCGCAACAGAATCACAACCAGTCACCGGAATTCGGAAGAGTGGTGACGTGGAACAACGGCGGAGCAGCTGATTCCGCCGCAATCGGAGGAGGAAGAGGAGGATTTGTGTTTGCTTCTCCGGCGACAACGACGTCGTTTCCGTTTCAGCCAGATTATGGCCAAAGTCAGGTTTTTTCTCAGAGGGGTCCCCTTCAGTCCATTAATACACCCATGATTCGTGCTTGGTTTGATCCTCACCATCATCATCAGTACACTAACACGGATCATCATCCTTACCAAATTCCACCGGCGATTCACCAATCAGCGATTCCAGGCATCGCACTTGGTTCGAGTGGTGAATTCTCCGGTTTTTGTATACCGGCACGGTTTCAGGGCGAGCAAGAGGAGCACCGCGACAACAAACCGTCGTCTGCTTCATCTGATTCTCGCCATTAATCAAGATTCAAAAACACACACAGGAAACAAAAAGAGAATAAACGAGTGCAACACAAATGGTTTCTTTCCATATTCCAGGTTCGATCTTTTTGGAAACACCCAATTATGAAAGTCTTGTCCTTTTACAATGTAACCGTTCATCAAATTGCACTCTTGTTAACGTTTCAGGGCGCTAAGGTTATGTGGGAATGTGTTTGCTTGTGTTTTCAGATATCGAATGGCCTATAAATCCAATGAAAGGAAAGGAAGAAGAGAAAGAGAAACAGATCTGATCGACAGTATCAAGTTCTTCTTCTTCCAAGTCCAAGCCTTTGCTAATTTGAATTCATTTTGTATAAATCAGAGCTGTAATCTCTATTATGTTCTAGCCCCACGAGCTCACATATGTTTGTTGTAATCCTGATTATGAAGCATATTTTGCTCTTGTTGTTGTTGTTGTTTTAAATAAATTTGTTATTCCCTCATGCTCTTGTGTTGGAAACCTTTTAACCCCACTTGAATCTAAAGTCTCAACCTTTTTCCCTTTATTCCATGTGGGTTTGATGCTTTCCTCAAGAAATATCTTCTTTCTTTTTTTTTTGCCAAACCCAAAGAGGAACAGTGTTCCACCAATCTACATCGAATTGTTAGACATTTGTTATAAATAATACGATTGTGATTTGGTTTTGCGTTGCGTTCATTCCCACTGCTATGAATTTAATTTTGATTTATTGTTTTCCAATATCTGTAGTTTATAAACAATTAAACATTCTATTGAGTGACAAATGGAATTTGGAACAATCATTGCTCTTATGTTTCCTTTAATCTCTTCTTTTGGCCCCATAGATGAAGAGTCATTTTCCATGGACAGGGTTTGCATGTGTTGCTTTTTATTTTGGAATTTAGGGGTTTAGAATGATGGGTTTGTACCAAAAAAAAAGGAAAAATATATATATATTTTTTAGTTTTTGGCTTTTTCATTATTTATTTAGCGGGGAAATTAGTATGAGTTTTAGTTTTAAATATACGGATAAAAATAAAATTGAATTTTTGTTAGTGGCTACTTGAAGGAAACGATTTATGAGAAAGAGCAAAAGAGATATTGATGTCTAGTGTCAATAATGTCTTATTTTAAAACACTTACTTAAAGAAGTGTGTAGGAGATCCACCAAACGTGAGTGTGATATATAGTCTTTAAACGAGTAAAAAAGAATGGGACATGAGATTAGTCATGAAGTCACCCTTGTTGGCCTAAATGAAGGAATTTTGAAAGAAGAGCCAAAGTCCCTTTCTTTTCAGATCAAATAGCTTAGTGGGGTATGTGATTTCAGTCCATAATTTGCTGTCCATTGCGAGCTAGAACTTAAAACTATAGGTTAATGTTACTTCGTTCGATTTGGTTTTTCGCTATTATAATTTGGAAGACTTAGAAAACTTTCTTGATGTATAGAAATATGTAATGGAGAAGCTTAAAGGAACCAAACTTTACATGTGATGCACTGGTGTGATAGGATGAGATGGAAGTAGTGGCTAGACATAGAATAAATATAGAAATCATATCAATTCTACATTGCAAAAAGATCTTTCTTCTTCTTTTTCTTTCTTCCTTTTCGCCTACTTGTTCAAATGCATATGTTTGAGATAGATGCAAATACATGTTAATCAGGTTATGTGAAAGATTAATGAGGTAAAACCTTTGAATTTTTTGGGCTTTATTTCTGTCCTAAAAAGGACATGAAGTCAATTATAAAAAAGGATGAAACCAAAATGGGAAAAAAGGTTGTCAGCTTTAGAGAATGGTCCCCTCTCTCTCTCTCTCTATCCATCTATTGTCAGATCTCAAGGTTACAGCTGTTAATCTATCTATTCTTTTTTAATTTTTCTTCATTCCATTCCAATATTCCATACCCATTAATGATTATTTTTCAGATTGAGGATTTGAAAGTGTCCATCTTTCTTCAAAGGATAATACTTTTTGAATATTAAAGTAAAGAATACAACCACCTTTGATCTTCAAAGGATATACTAGGACAACCAAATTTGTTCCAATTTCCCTTCTTGTCACTTTAAAGTTTATCCTGATTTTCAAACATCATTTAATCGAAAAGATTCTATCAGGGATGAGTTTTCCTGACGAATTCGGTTTGTTTAGGCCCAAAATTGATGAAAGTGATACCGAAAAGAGATAAATAGCTTTTCAAAGAGTTTGGGTCTAAGAAAGTACAAAAATATGTTAGATAAACTTAGACGATATAGTCCCGGCGGGTTTCGAACCCGCGACCTTCGGCTCATAAGACCAACGCTCTAACCAGCTGAGCTACGGGGCTCTGGCGATAAGATTATTCGTTAACAAAAAATGAACCACAATGTTCAGTGTAGTTGTCGCATCGACCACACTAAGTTGGAGGAGACAATGAAGACAAATGACAGATTTATACAGCAGCAGCAATAGAAGACAGTCATAAGTTGATTTCATAATTCTATTTTATTTTGAGAAGTTGACAAATTTCAGTCTCCAGTACAATATAAGTGAAGTGGTCTCAACTTTTAATGTTCAATACCAGAATCGTAACACACATAAGTAAAAGAACGAGCAAACAAAAGGAGCAATAACGAAAGATGTAGGAGAAGAATATTGTATACATACACAAGAATAGATAATATTAGCTTTATAAGAATCTGTTTCAAACACATCAAACAGTGACATATATCAGAAATTTAACTTAAGTTGTTACACTCTCAAATCCATAACATAAAGAGGAAGAAAATAAAAAAACGAAAGACGTGAGAACAAACTCGCTCATGTGAATTAAACCTTTGAACGAGAGGAGGGATCTCTACGACCAGCCAAACCAGTAATCAAGAATATAGACCAGACCCAATGAGAATGGGTAAAGCAGGTAAGCTATGAAACATGTCCAAAGAGGATAAGTTGTCCGGAAACTAGCGAAACCGCCCATCACGAGACAAACAATGAGAATCACTAACACTTCTGATGAGAAGTTCCAAGTTAGTCCTCGAACGTAGACGATTGCTAAGAACACTGAGAGACAGAGAATGTTGTTCATTGTCACTCCACCACATAGCTGCAAACAAAAAGCAAACAAATAAACATGAGAAACGGTTTTAGTTTAGGAAGTATAATGAGACAGAAAGATGGTTCACTGAATAAACGGACCTCGGAGAAAGTTAATGAGGCGGTTCTGATCTTTTTGCGGGAGGCAAAGATGATGGCAGACACGGCTTCACTTGAATTGGTAGCTAAAGGCAAAGCGATGAAGGAAATGAAGAAAGAAGGGATCCCGGTGGCCGCTGAGAAGTTGTTAACAGTGTCGACTAAAGGATCAGCAAATGCAGCAGCAATAGCAGCTCCTAACAGTAGCAGCAGAGCTGCTTTAATAGTGATCCATTTGGGATCTGCGACCTCCCCTGAATCCTCATCATTCTCACCATTTTCATTATCTCCCAACAGAGCATGCTCTCTCTTTGTTTGCTGCAACCAAAAAAAACAAATTGTGTTGATTCCAGAGAAGTTTTGTGACCCAAGTGTGTTCAAATGGGGTTTCAATAGTCTCTCTTACCTTATGGAAATGGTCAAGGAATTTCATTGTTCGAGGACCGGCATCAGGACCTGCTGGGCCAGCAGCTCCCATTGCCTGGATAAGCCATTGCTTAATTCCACGGACAAACTCTTCCTGATCAACTTGCTCATCAAGAGTCTTATCAAAATCTTGGAGAACTTTTCCCACAGCATCATCTTTGTCAAAATCTATATCCTCAAAGCTGATCCCAATGATAAGAGCCTTTAGTTCAGTCGCTGATAAGTGTCCGTCCTTGTTTGCATCGATTGTCTCAAACAACCTAATAAACGGATAAACTTGAGCACAAGGAGAATCCGAGCAAAGTGACTAATTTTTTTGCTCTCTCCATGACTTACCTTCGAATGACATGTTCATCAGGCTGACCTTCATCATCAAGAAGCCTTCCCAAAGCATGTTGTTTCAAGTGCTTTAGGATTCCTGATATAACATGCTTGTGCTTTGCAAAAGCGAGCCGTCTCCTTTGGATCCACGGTTGGAATACCTAGATATCATCATACGAGGAAGAATAAATAATCTAGTAAACAAGATGGAGAAAGCCAAAAATAAGAGACATCAGTCTAGTGGTCCTGAGAATTGTATGTTAATACCTGATATACACAGTAAGAGATCAACATGGCAACAGAGAGGATTAGAGCAACCAAGACGGCCAAATGTCTTCCAGATGTTGAGTCCAACATCTGTGGAAGCTGGACAATGACAAACGGAATAACCGATATAGCCATTATCCTTGCAGCATAGCTGGTCCAAACATCAACAGTTACACCAGAATCTACAGACACACAAGTAAACACACAACAGTTACATAAGTGAAGCAAAAAATGAAGAATCCGTCAGAGACGAGACACTTTCTTGGTTACCTTTAAGGCTGAAGCGTTTAGTGTCTTGGTTGTTTACAGCAATTGTATCACGAAGGTCACACTTGCCAACCACAGTGCAAGTTCCCCAGATTACAGTGAGGAGCATAACGGTGGAGCCAGCGAGCAAACCCATTCCCACAGAGACTTGGCTTTGAGCTGTTGCTGCGTCTCCAGAAAGTCCAGACACTGGAGAGTAACACCAACACATTAATACAATTTTAAAGAACCATCAAGAGCAAAAAAGAAAAAAAAGAGCAAAGATAATAACTTCACATCAAAAGTTCTAATGACACACAAAAAACAAGATAAGGATAGGCTAAAAAGTAGAAGGTGACAAGTTATGAGTTCATCAGTTACCATCAAAGTATCTTCTTCATCACTCACTATTTGATTCACAGAACCTAACAAAGATTCACTTTTTTGTTCTTCTTCAAAAATTTGGCTTTCTCACCCAAATGAATTCTTGAGATCTAAATTTCAAATTAAGAAAAAAAAAAAACAAACATTTTCACATACCCATAATAAGCATAGCGTCAGGAAGCGCGCCGAGCATCGGAAGAAACAAACCACCGACGATTCCAGGGCCAAGGATCTCGAGTAGAAGCTCACTTCCGGCAGAGAGATACGTCGCCGCCGTGAACATGAGAAATCCATAAACCAAAATCAAAAACACGTTTCCAAGCGCCGTCTTAGTACACGGCATAAACCCGTAGGTCTGTTCACAAGCTTCCTCTTTCTCTTCAGCCGGAGGAGCCGAAACCACCGTCTTGATAACCGATCCGGAGCCGGGATTTCCACCGTCGATTCCATCGGAGATAAGACCGGTCGAAGATGGATGTACAGCGACGAATCGAGCGTAAGCCGATGAAGTGAAGAACACAAGGAAGATGAGAGAGATGAGAGATCTGAATCTCATGATTGATTTTGAATGAAAACAAACAAAAAAAATGCTAACTGAGCAAAATCAAAGGACGACGTTCATGGAGAAATTAAGTAGAGATTTGTGGGGTGGGTATGTATATATACACATATACACTATGTATTATATAAATGGAGATTTTATTGGACAGATAATTAAAGTTGTGTGTGTGTGAGTGTGTGTGTATAAATCGTGTGGGGCAGTTTTTCCGGGAAGTAAAAATGACGTTGCGAAGATGGCGATTTGATTTACCGGAGATGAAAGAGGAAGAAGAGAAGACAGAGAGACACAGAGTCTTTAGACCATTTTAACCTTGTTCTTTCGTTTTATTTACGGATATTAAATACTACAAATCTTGGTCTTTGCTGGATTTGATTATCTTCTAAATACAGAATTAGGAATCATGTGTAAAGTTGATAATATTAAATTTGTCCACCTTACAAAAAGTGAAAGATGACACCTAATTTATTGGCAAAATAAAGGTCTTGCTTCCTCTTCCCTACATTAATGGCCTTCCTCAAAAATTCAACAATGATTTTTTTTTTCTGTTAAAGTATAATGAATTGTTCAACATTTATTTATTTTTCTCTTTTCGTATATTGTTACCAATAAACCATTTGCAGAGGTAAGAGCATGTTTATCAGAGTCTTTAAACTGAGTTTCTTACTAATATTGGACTTTAAATTAAATGAGAAATGGGCATTAAAGAGAGAAAAGTAGCAGAGACATTTCTATTTCGGATCCGCTACATACGTCTCTTGCTTGCCACGTGTCGCGATGCTATTGGAGATGAAACAGAGAAGAGGAAAAAAATTTTGCTCTTGTTTTTGGTCGACCAAATAAACACAGAAGGCTTCTCTCCTCCGCCGAATCGCCTTCACCACGACTGCAGCTATCCTCGCCGGTTCCGATCAAAGCGACGTCTGCCGGAGAAAGATTGGAACTCTGTTCGAACGAGGAGGTAAGTTTTATCGTCTCTGAACTCCTCCTTCGTCGATTTCGTCATGTCTCTTCATCTTCTAAAATTTGTTGATGGTTTTAGTTGATCGATTTCAATCGAATTTAGTTTTCGCTATGGTGTTTGAGAATTTGTACTGTTCTAATGAATCCGTTTTTAGGTTTCAATATCCATGGCCGATTGATTAAGAGAGGTCTCGATAATTCAGATACACACGTGGTTTCTGCATTGATGGGTTTCTATGGAAGATGTGTGAGTTCGGATGTCGCCAACAAAATATTCGCTGAAACGCCTAAAAGAGATGATCTCGCGTGGAACGAGATAACTATGGTAAATTTTCGGAGTGGGAAGTGGGAAAAGGCTTTGAAACTGTTCAGAGAGATGCAGTTTTCTGCTGCAAAAGCGTATGATAGAACAATGGTTAAGCTTTTGCAAGTTTGTAGCCATAAAAAAGGTTTAGCAGAAGGGAGATAGATTCATGGGTATGTTCTGAGACTTGGGTTTGAAACAAACATATCGGTGTGTAACTCCTTGATTGTTATGTACTCAAGGAATGGCAAGCTTGAATCATCCAGGAAAGTTTTCAATTCAATGAAAGACCAGAATTTGTCTTCGTGGAACTCAATTGTATCGAGTCATACTGCATTTGGTTATGTAGATGATGCCATGACTCTCCTGGAAAAAATGGAGAGATGTGGTTTGAAACCAGATATAGTGACATGGAACTCTCTTTTGTCAGGGCCACACATTCAAAGGCTTATACAAAGGTGCCATTGCGATACTGAAGAGAATGCAAATTGCTGGTCTGAAGCCAAACACCAGCTCGATAAGTAGTCTTCTACAAGCTGTTGCTGAACCTAGGCTGCTTAAACTTGGAAAGGCGATTCACGGATATGTAATAAGAAATCAGCTTTGGTACGATTTGTATGTAAAAACCACATTGATCGACATGTATATGAAATCTGGCTGTTTACCTTTTTTGTTAAAAAAAACGCATTATGGTTTCTCTAATGTAACTCAAATAAATCAACATTTCTTAAGAGGTTTTTTAACTAAACAATATTACTAAACTAATACTTAAGAGACACACATAAGTCTCTCCAATAAACATGGTCTAAGAAACTCAAAAGAGTCTCTTATCAATATATTTTTGATATTATAATTAAGTTTTTAATTTTAAAAATTAAACGAATACTAAAGAAATATATAGCTGAAGAGTTTCTCATGAGTTTCAAAATCTCATCTTATTCTTTCTCTTTTTTTATTATTATTATTTTCAATTATGAGAGACCCTCTAAAAAACTTTAATTGTGTAAGCTCTAAAAACATGTATTGCCTCAATGTGATAACAGATTAAAGTTAACAACCGAATTTGTGAAGAATTAGTGGTTAGAAATATATGTATTGTTACATTTTATTACAATTTAAATGTCTGTCTTTGACGCAGAAAAATAGAATATCATTATTTTGATACATTGTTTTGACCGTATTTGTAACTTGAAAACGATTTAAAACATATTATTGTAGGCACGGACTAAAATAATAAAAAGTAAGTAGGGGCAATTCGGGTACTGTAGATTTAGATGAGAACCGTTCGTTAGACATTGTTTTTTTGTCAACCGTTCGTTAGTAATTTACTGCTACCGGATTTAATTACGCGATTACGCGGCTACACGTGTAATATCAAGCCGATTTCAGGGGCACAATCATAAATTAGTCAACACTTGCCGACATTGTAGATAAATAAAATAAAATCCAAATCATACCTTTAAAAATTAATTTAGAGCAAAAAAACACTAATAGATTTCTATATTTGGAGAGTTACATATAGCAGATGGGGACCTTACTTAGTTCTGACTTCTCTACTAATTGAAAGTAAATCTTTCAAAACCAGTAAGCAGTAAAACACCAATTATTGGTAATCGTAATTTATGTCATTTGGTTCAGCTTTTGTCGGTTATTACGGTTATTTTTGGTTAATTTCATACTATTTCGGTTGATTTTTTGTGTGATTTGGTTGGGCTTAACTTAATCTATTATGGGTCTAATATATTGGATTAGAAAAGGCCCATTAGCCCAATTTTCGGAATCAGGGTTTCTGATTTGCAGATTCTTATAAGCTTGTTGCCGGAGAGTTTTCTATCGCCGGCGATTCTCCCCTTTCGTCAGAAGTTCGATTCGACGGAGGCCAAAGAGGAAACCCTAATTCCCCATCTCTCCTTGTTGAACTGAATTGTGAAAAAAAACACCGAAGAATTGAGGATACGGCAATGGTGAAAACCGAAGTAAAAACTGAGATGTTTGAGGACATCAAACCTGATAAGCAACCTTGCGTGGTTAGCTCCGATGTCGTCTCAGATAGGAAGTTCAAGAGAACTCTCCTTTGCGTCTCGAAACCATCTTACCTTCTGGGTCTTCTTGGGCCAAGAAATAGCCGAAGCGAGTACCTCAAACGATTGCCAAAGATCCTCCGTGAGCTGATTCGAAATAGAAACTGGAGAGATGCAAGTAGTGTACTTAGCGTTTTGATGCAAGGAACAATGAGAGATGGTTCACCAGCGATGAATCGGCTCAAATACGAGGTTTATCTCCAAAGATGGAACAGTAGTGTCTTGCTTGCTTGTTGCTGTCTGTTTCTTATATTGTTCTGGTTTTGTGTCTTTGCAGTCTCATATACAAATTCTGAGTCACTTGCAATCTTGCAAAAACAACGCCGATGAGATTGGGAAAATATATGATACTTGGATCGGGAAGATTGGTAAACAGCATAAAGAGGTCCCTTTTAAAATTATAACAGACATAAGAATTTGTTATTGGACAATACAGCATTTTCCTTTCTTTTAGCTTTGAATATTGTTCTTTAAGGCTCGAGACTAACATTGACTTACCTGGTCATTTTGGACAGGAGAAGCTCTTGGTTTGGTTTGAACAAATTTGCCATTTTATCGAGCATGGGATGGATAGTGTAGCCGAGAGTGCTGTAATCAGGTATAGTTGATATCTTCTTGAGCTAGTTTTCTTGCTCTCTATGATTTCTATAGTTATCCTATTTTCAATGCACATGTTATCTTGTAATTGCGTGTATTGATTGTTTGTATGTTTAGCTAATTATCCGAGATGGTCAAAATCTTGCTTGAATTGATTTTGTTGACTTCTCTTCTTCTTTTGGCAGCATGATGCAGAACCGTGATTTGGCAATGCTTCCACGGACCAATCTATTTATAGGACTCACATTCTACAGATTGTGGTGTCGTAAATTCGTGGCAGAGTTACAGCCTGAAGATGTAGACTGCAGCGAGAGCATATCTAATGTGTCGGAACCAAGATCTGATATTATGGTTGAGTGTTCGGTCAAGGAGGAGTCTGTTTACTCTGTGGAGTCGGAGGTTTCTGTTAAACACGAGTCAGAGTCTTCGGTCATGAATTATAAACGAACTTCACATATATCCATCAGTGATTTAGCGGAAGGGATGGATGTGAAGGTAAAACTGGAGAGTCCTCAGCATTATACCAATCCACCACGACTCTATGTCACCTCTGAAGAAAACGAAGACTCTTTCCAAAATGGAGTTTCATTTGATCCCGCTCTTATTCAAATTCTTGGTTAGTACGCTAGAGTTTTCTTTAGCTCGCATTATGCAATAACCCACAAACAGTTATGTTGATTTCATGGCTTCTTTGTTTTGTTTTCTTAGGGGACATGGATCCATGGTTGCTTCCTTTGATACCACCAGAAGATCCTGATTGCTATAGAAAGATTGTTAATGATTCTTATTTTAAGGAAGCAGTGAGATATCTGCGGCTTACGATGCAGTCTCCCCGTCATGTATCACTAGCTGCATTACATCCACTTGTACAGGTAAAAACTGATATAACCATTTTTGCCTATGTGACTCATAATGTTCCTCCCATAAAGCTTGAATGTCTCACACTGATTGGATGTTTCTTTTTTCCCCTCTCTCTTCTCTTAAATTCCCTTCTAGCTTCTGTTAATTGGAGGCCATGTAGATGAAGCGATGAAAGTGGTCGAGCAGATGTGCAACAAAGTACATGACATCAAACCTTTCAGGTACAAAAAGATCTCTCTCAGTCCCTATTAATTTAGTATTTGCGCCTGCCTTTGGAAGTTAGAATATAGAAACAGAGGAATTTTCTGAAGTGAAGTTTTGGTGTTTTGGCTCAATTGTAGGATTAAGGCGGCTATGGCGGAGAAGTTTCATCCTAAGAGCACAATGCTCGCAAAATGCTACGAAGATGTCTTAAAGATTGATCCTACTTGTGTAACTACCCTGAAGAAGCTTTATGGAATGTTCCTAGAAGGTATGTAGGATCAAGAAGCCATTCTTTTAGTCTTAAAGATCTTGAATCCTGCCTTAAGTTGTCTCTAATTCCGTTTGTATTTAATTACTTGCAGATGGGTATAGTAGAGAGTCGATTGTAGAAATGATAGCATTGCATGTAGAAGCTTCTTTTCCGGAGCCGGAAATCTGGAAAGAGTTTGCCTCTTGCTTGCTTCTCTTCTTTGAGAATCTTGATGAAGACCGTATGTCAATATGTTTCGACGGCTCTGGAGAAGAAAGTAATCAACAAAATTTCTCTGTTCGATACAACCCGACACCTAAGATGTTCACCGATACATCATGGACACTTCGGGCTAAGTGGTGGCTAAACCGCCATTTCTCCTCGGAAATACTCGAGACAGAAATTAAAAAGTTCGAAAAGCTCGAGGCAGAAGAAGAAAACGGTATATCTTTTATATGAAACGGAAAATCTAAACACTGTTTTCAGATTCATCTTCGTGTTTTTAGCTGATTACAAATTCTTTGATCTTGACAGGAGGTTTGGAGATGATGAGATTGATGAGTTACAAAGCGGCATGTGCAAGTCATATCTATGGACCAGAGTTTAGTTATGTTACAATAGTGTACGGTTTGTTGGAGAATAAATGCTACAACATAGAATTGTTAAACTCCTTGCAAACACACAGACGAAATTTTAATTGTTTACACATATTATAGAATAGACCTATTTTGGTGTTATTATAATTTTTTGGTTCCCACTATGTAAGCTTTATTTTGATGGAACATGCATGACTTACTAAATTTGAGGTCTTATGCATGTATATGGAAGATATAGGTGAATAACTTTTGTTTACAAACAGATTTTATTTATACCAGTGTATTTGATTAAATCAAAACTTTAGATTTAAAATAGTTGCAATGAAATTATTCAGATATTGTGTTTCACAATGCGACTTTTGTCGGTAAATTTGATTTCAACAATGCATTTCATGTTGTTTTCGAAATGTTGAACCTTAACGACAGTAATAAAGATATGATGAATTGTAGAATTATAAAATAAAATAAAAAACCTAGAAAAACCAAATTAGCCTGTACATTTTTTCATTGTCACGTAGCCAAGAAACCAAATTAAAAAGATGACAGTTTTTGACCATTCACACATATTATGTGCACAAACAAAACAAAAAAAAGGTACAAATTTACAGAATTTTTTTTTGGAGCTGAAAACAAACCCAAATTCTGTTTTCTTCTCTTCTCTTAAGTTTCCTTTTTATATAAATATATATAAACCGAATAGATTAAAAAGCCATTCTTCTTCCTATTATTATACCTCTCTCTTCTCCATGACCAGTGCCTCTGATTTACAGATTGGGCAAACGTTCTTCACAATCAGCCATTTCTCCAAGCACTCAGCATGATACTCGTGCCCGCAATCCAAAGTCGCAATCTTTTCTTCGTTCTTGAAGCTTTCCTGTTTAGGAAGAAATTGAGAGATTTCTTTAGAGCTCTTAAACCCAAAGCCTGTGTGTAAAAGAGCTATGATCTTTGGCTATTTTTACCTGACATATCGTGCACGGTTCAGTATCTCTATCTTTAGTTTCTGGAGACGACGACTTTTCATCAAGGTTGATAACAGAACATGTTCTTATTTTGAGATGACTCTTAACATCTTCCTCTGGCAAACCAGTGTTTACGGTTCCAATTCGCTCGCTCAACGCAAGAAGCTCCTGTTCAAACCCCAGGTTTTCAAATCAGATCAACAAAAACCTAACCGTGATCACAGAAAATTGCGTATTGGATTCTCAAGCTCATGCAAAAGCCGTTAACTTTTCAGCTGCTAAACGCTTTAACTCTGATAACTACATCGGTAAAGAGTTAAGAAAATGGGCTCACCTCGTAAGACATTTCCTCGATGTCCAATCGCATATCTCTATGATGATCAATGTGATGATTTCCAGAACCTCCAAGGAAGTCTCCAAACTCCAATATCGCAACTTCCTACACACATTGTAAAGAACCAAAAGAAACAGAACCTCTTGAGCAACTACGAAAACGAAGAAGATGGGGACGAAAGAATGAGGCAAGAAAGTTACATCATCAGGCATCACTCTAAGCCGAGGAACTCCTCCACGGTGTTGTCTAAGAGTTGCTACAGGTACAGAACCATCTCGCTGATGTTGCTGGTATATTCGAAACCCGGTTGGTTGAACAGGACTCACGTGATTCGAACCCATCTCTGAACCCGAGGGGCCACTATTCATTGTGGTCTGAGGAGCAAAGCTACCAGGAGGAACTCTGTATGAGGCCGAAGAAGCCATGTGAGGGTAGAATGTGGCGCTCTGGCCTCTCACTCCTTGTACAGGAGAAGGTGTTGGGTGATGATGATGACCATAATAATGGTCCCTCGGGTTTACTTGAGAAGGATACATAAATGCTGTAGGGTTTCTACTACTAGATTCTATGGGACCAGCGACAATGTTAGTACCTGAAAGATCATTCAAAGATGGATAAATAACATGTTTTACATTAGAAACTGAGAGAAGGGATGGGAGGTACCGTGCATATAAGGCGTGTGGGGCCAAAACGAAGGTGAACCATCAGATCTGCCATGGTGTTGATCATACCAGACTGAGCCAGGAGATTGAAAAGGATGATGGCCTGCGTAATTCCCTTGAATGAAGCTGTTTGGAGCATGAGGAGGAAGAACAGGGTTCATTGTAACAGCTCCAGGTCTGTTCCTCACGCCTCCAAATGGTGCCACTGCCTCTGGCGTATTGAATGGAACTGCTAAAGTACTTAAATACTGAGGATTTCCGGTTAAGCCTTCAGCGTTTTTTCTTTTGTATGCTCCTCTTGTGTGATCCATAAAATGAGCATTCCTTTCGTACTCATGATCAGAGCTTACTCCAACTACACCGTGACTGCTAGAAGAAGGTAACTGACTTGGCGGAGCCTGAAATGCCACATAGGGAACATAGAAATTCGTGGGAGCACGCTGATGATGATGATGATGATGATGATGGTACTGAGGAAGACCGTAGAACATTGCCGAGTTGTCATAATTCTGGTCTTGAAGAGAATGTGCTTCTAAATTAGGAACGTTTGCAACCATGGCAGGGATGCTATTAGTATCCGGTTGTTGTGGAAAGCTGCCTAAGAGAATGCAAGGTTCTGGTTGGAGAGAGGCTTGAGATTGCTGCTGCTCCATTTCTAAATCGACCGTTCTATTTCTTTGTCCCATTTCGCTTGCTGCAGAAGCCCTCTGAGAGGTTTTTGATTTCATAAAAAACATCAGCAGCCATAACGATGACACAACAAAGTATAAACTGAAATTGAGCCTTTTTTATTTCAATAGAACCAACCAACGCAGCATTATTACATCTCAAGCTGATACTAAAACCTAAGCTATTACATCAACTGCACTCTTGTCAGCTTCTGATCCGGGGATTTAAGTAACGAAATCAAAAACATACATAGCACATGTTCTCCTCGATTTGGTCCGAGAAAGTGATGTAAAAGGTCCCTCAAAGAAACTTTGCATTGTGCATTCTCAAACTCATGCTAACAGATCATTCTTATGAAGATTCAATATAAATTTAGCAGCAGAATTAAAACCAAATACAGAAACTAAGAACAAATCTTCAAATGCCAAAAAGAAGAAGATCAAAACTTTTATACATTAACAAAAAAAAAATGGATGAAACTAGCCCACCATGCCTAACTAATAATCAGGACAACCGTCTTATGCAAAATTGCTAAAATAAACAAAATCAAGAACTCTGACCTTGAGAACATTAAGATTGTGAAAGAACAAAAGCTTGGAGATTTCAAAGGGCTGCAACGAGCTACAGAAGACAAAGACTTGTAATTTTGAAGAATCCGAAACCCGAAACTCCCTGCAAAGATTAGAAAAGCAACAATCTAGATGATCAAAAGGAGATTAGAGTCATAAAACCAACTAACCCAGAACAATGCAATTTCTTCAGATGAAGTTCATGAAGATAATAATAACAACAATCCATCAAAACTAAAAATAAAAATAAATAAAAACCCACCAAATAAACAATGATTTTGAACCCTGATAATCAAAAAGAAAAGCCTGAGAAACCGATTATGGTGATGATTAAAAGAGATAATTACCTGATTTTGGAGGTTTAATCAGGGAGAGAGAGATCCGAGGGGAAGAGAGAAAGAGGAGGTGAGGGAGAGAGAGAGAAGAGAGAGAGGGACGTCGGTTTCTTGATTCTGATTTCTTCTCGCACGGTGACGGAAGGTTTTTATTTTCGCATTTATCTTTTTTATTCTCTTCTCTCTCAATTTTTTATTTTCCATTTTTTCTCTTTAATTTTTCCTATTTTTTTCATTGGTTTCTCTTTTTTCTTCGTTTAATCTTTTTTTCGTTGGTTTCTCATTTTTGCAGCACATAGTTTTTTTTTTTAATGTAAAAAAGTGAAACAGTGTCCTAATTATAGACCTAAACGACGCCGTAATTATATAGAGGACGACATAGTCTTGTTAAATTTTGATAGTTATTTATTTCTGACTTTAATTATATACAAACTTTTGATTTCATAATCTTTTTTTTTAGTCTTTATTAGAGCTGATTGCTGAAGCATGCCCAACCATGATGAATTTAAAACTCATTTATTAGTTAGTTATTTCTAAAACTTTAAACGATTTTGTTTTCTTAAACGATCAAAGTTTTGGTGATTTTGTATATTTATTTATTTACGCCATAAACAATTATAGTCTTTCCATTTCACAATTAATGTCCTCTAAGATTTTTAACGCATGCAAACTTTCGTACAAAATACCTAATTTAACATCAACTTATGAAGAATTCTAAGAATCAAATTGTATTTTAAGAGTATAAGTGATTTTTTAATATGTTTTTTATTAATTTGTGTGAAAATTTGTTAAAACGACGAGTACAACTTTTATGGTAACGTGTATAAGTTAGAAAACTTTGTAAAAAATATATTCTGGATATTTATTTTTTCTGCATTAGATACATTTTGAGCAAAGTTATTAATTGTTTGGTTTTCTTAACACAGCTTTGGGGAAGTGTCCCCATGTGCTTTCTTTGTTGAACCAGCTTGACACCTAATTATGCCCAATATATTAATTTACAATTTATGGCTTACACAACGTTGTGAACAATCTAAAACTATACAACCACAACTTATCCAAGAAACGAAACTCAAATGCGCTGTAATTTATCTGATTTGTCTTAAAGAGATGCATTGTCTTTAATGTTACAGCGTCAAAATTGTGTTTTGTAATACTAATACACAAACATAACTTTGTGGAAGGAGTATTTGAAAGAAAACGTATCGACTTCATTTAGTATAAGAATTGGATGTTCATTCCACCATTTTTAACTAGCAAATGCGTTATTAATGATGATTGATATGATATATGAATATTATCATGTATTACAATGGTATGTATTGTTGTCGAGATGTCATCATTCTGATTCAAATGTTATGGAAATAATTATGTTATATGAAAAATATACAATGATACATGCTAGAAAATTATGGAACAATCGGTAGAACTACTTAATACAAAATACGAAATGCTAAAAGCCGTTTTTACAAATAACTAAGTGAAGTTTTAGTTTGATAATAATAGTTTGACAAATACGTAATTTATTGCACAATATTTTGTTTTATTGCATAGTCTATTTTTCATATGAAAAAGAAAAAAAAAACTGATTCATAGAAGTATAGAACATAAACAAATGATGAGCGTGAAAATTTGACTAGAATTTCATAAAAAGCAACAAATGACAAATCATGTTTTTAAAATGTTAAAACGCGAAAACAAACTACTTAGAATAATCCAAATAAAGATAAACGTGAATTAGAGTTAATTTTAACGAACCGAGAGAGGTGAGAGCATATGTTGTTTATTGACCAAACCAATCAGTACTTCGAGCTAAGATATACGTTTGACTTTTCGTCAAACATATACTCGTAGAATGAAATCGACATACACTTAAATCTATGACATCGTTCTTAATGTATCTGATTGAAATGCCAACAATATATCTCGAGATCATCGACATTTTGTATAATACCTAAAATTTTTAATGTATTAAAATGAAAATTTGATATATATATATATATATTTTAAAATACTATACTTGAAGAAGTAGCCATACAAAATATACTTAGCCATACACCGTATATACGTACTAGCCACACTACGTATCTGTTAGGGGAAAAGCACATGTAGCCAAACCCAAAAAAAATATACACATATCATAACAAATTTAATATATATATATATATTGTATATTTATTTATATATTTGGGTTATATAACATTGCTTCCAACTACAGAGTTTGGATCAGATTCTCTCGACTGTCTTAAACCCACGAAGAGAATATGCTATTTTATTCCTTTTTTTCTTTCTCATCGACTGAATAGCCTGAATTTAGTGAGGTATATACTATATACCAACTGGTAATCAATTTCAGAAACATTAATCTATATTAGAAAAGTGGAAATTCATTTCAGAAAACAAACTATATTACATTCATAGTCTCATTCTGTTTTTGGATTAAAGCAATCATGCTGGATACCTCACAAAATCAATCGCATGAATCAGACCAAACGACAGCGTTTATACCAATGCCAATTTCAAAACGCAAACTGGGTTCGAATTTATTGGGCCTGTGATTGGAATGTATTATGGGCCTTTTCGGGTCGATTTTTTTCCCTATAAAGTATGTATATACAACTAGGGGCTCTTGTTTTTTTTTTTTTGGTCAAAAGGGGCTCTTGTTTTTATGATCCTTAATCGATGAATAAAGACTCTCATTTTTAAGAATGGGGCCGTTGTTGAGATGACTTATGAGTATATATAACATATAATCGTTAAACCAAAACAAAACCAAAAAAAAAAGTCAGGATAGTGGTTTTGAAAAAGGCAAAATCTGTATGAATACTCACTTTTTATTTTATTGAAGCAAAATAGGAGCTTAAATAATTGCCGAACAAGAGTTGTCACGTTTGTCCATAAAAATGAGAGTTGTCACGTCTGAAAATATTAAAAGAAATGTTACTTTTATGTATAAAAAGATGATTCATGTCCATATTTGAGGGTTCTCTGCAAAATTTATTAGTAACATATGTTTGATGTGTCGAACTTTAGAAAAAATAAATTAGAGACTCCACTTTAATAGTTTTAATCGTTAACATCCATAGAATGGGTCTTCATAAATTAGAGACTCCAATTTAATAGTATAGCTATACTTACACTTTTAAAGATGGTCTTCACATGCGCGTAAGTAAGAATAGGAATTTGTATTTTACCCAAAAAAAAAAGAATAGGAATATGTAATTTTTTAAAAAAGTGGCTACTTGTTTTGGGTTGTTCACCAATTGGCTACTTGTTTGTAAATTTGTTTTTCAGTTTTTTTTTTTTTTAAATGAATGTAAAATTATATTCATAACAAAAAAAAAGGATTTTTTTACAACCCATTGAGATGCGACTTGTGTTTAAAAGAGAGAGCTAAAAGAAAGATAAAAAAATTTGATCAAGCTCGGGCACTAAACCACATTTGAAGCGCGCCCTCGTATTTTCTATCACTTATGTTGCGTATGGATTGGATTCGGCATCGAACTAACTTATCGATGAGATGCAGAATCCTAGTTGCCGGTAGCGGGTCGTCTCTATGCCAGCGAGAGTTGTGTTCTCTCCAGATACTATGGACAGTAGCTTGAAGAGAGAAGCAGAACAAGAATAGAGTTATACGATCGAGCCGCGAGTCTGAGAGGAGACTGAGAACATCATTCCAGCTTGTAGTAAACCTGTTCCAGAGCAAATTTTTGGTAAGCTTTGTCCATATTTCCCCCGAATAGCTGCAAGAGAAAAATAAATGGTCCCGAGATTCCAGGCTAGAATTGCAGAGAGAGCACAAAGTGTTTACCCCAACATTCCAGCTTTGTATCCGATCTCCTGTGGATAAACGATTTAGAATGGCGAGCCATGTGAAAACCGCGAACTTTGGAGTACAGTGCGTGAACCAGACTCCTGAGTACCATGGAACTGTAGCTGAAGCCGATCGAATGAGAAGCCAGGTCTGCTTCGAACTAAAAGAGGGTTTGAAAGATCCCTCTTTGTGCTTCCATAAGAAAATATCCTTTGTTCCCGAATTGAGTTGCGCAAGTCTGCTTTCCAACGCATTTTCAATCTCTGAGAGCAGATCGATTCGGTGGCGTCGACGGCGTCTTCGTGCTAATGACGCAATAGAAGCGTTAAGAGGGATACCAAGATCTATAGGTCCTCTCACCCCTATCAGATCGAAAATGCGTCCCATACCCGACCAAATATCAAACCAGAAGCTCGTGTTTTCCCCATTTCCAATGTCAACCTTACAGAAAGAGCTAGCCAGAGATCTATATTTAAGGATTTTTCGCCACATCCATGATCCTGTACTACTGTTGTTGCTGATCGACCAGAAAGACTCTTTCCGAATAAGATACATTTGAATCCATTTGACCCAGAGGGATGGGTGAGATGAAACTAGGCGCCATATTAGCTTTAAACAACACACATTGTTTGCCTCTTTCAAAGGCCGAAGACCCAAACCTCCTTCAGATTTAAGCTTGCAAACCTCTTCCCAAGCAACCTTTGCCCTGTGAGGGTTCAAATCCGGGCCTGACCAAAGAAATGCAGAGCAGAGTTTATCAATATCTTTAAGGCATTCACTTGGAAGTCGAAATCCTGCCATCCAAAAATTCGTGATACTATGTAAGACAGATCGAATGAGCTGCAATCGGCCTGCAATAGACAAAGATCGAACAGTCCATGAGCAAACTCGCTTGCGGCATTTCTCAAGTAGAGGCAGATAGTCTTGTTTCCGCATTTGCTTCGTAAGAAGTGGCAAACCCAGATATCGTACAGGAAGGTGTCCTGTCTGAAATTCAAATCTTTCCTCAAGTTCAGTCCTTACCGAGTCTGTAACCCCTGCGACATAAATCGTAGACTTCTCCATACTAATCTTCAGGCCTGAGATCCTCGCAAACTCATCAAAAACCTTTACAATGCCTTCAACCGATCTCACTTTACCATCAGAGAGAACCATAATGTCATCAGCAAAACTGAGGTGGGTAAGTCCCAAGTTTTTACATTTCGGGTGATAGCCAATACGCTTAGCACTCGCTTCTCTGTCCAGAAGTTTTGAAAGCACATTCATGCTAATAACAAATAGATATGGAGATAACGAGCAACCTTGCCTCAATCCTCTGCTACTTCGGAAAAAACAGGCAAGCTCTCCGTTAACTTGTACTGAGAATGAGGCTGTAGTGATGCAGAGAGAGATCCAGTGAATGAACACATCAGGGAAGTTCATAGCGCATGGACATTAAGAAGAAAAGGCCATTGGAAAGAATCAAAAGCCTTCGAGATATCTATTTTGATTGCGCAGCGAGCAGGGGAAGTATCTCTATAGTAATCCTTCACAAGTTCTGTCGCTAAAAGGAGGTTCTCAATAAGTAGACGATCCTGAATGAAGGCTGACTGATTCATCGCAATGAGCTGAGGCATGATACTTTTGAGCCTGTTGGCAATAATTTTTGAGATAACCTTATAAAGAACATTGCAACAGGAAATATGACGATAATCTTTCATTTCCACAGCAGACGTTTTCTTCGGAATCAGCGCAAGGATTGTTGTATTGATTCCCTTTGGTAAGAATCCCTTTTCAAAGAAGGATTTCACCGCGATGATGAACTCAGAACCCACAACCGACCACGTAGCTCTGTAAAACTCAGCATTAAAACCATCAGGCCCTGACGACTTGTTACTCGGCATAGAGAAAAGCACCATTTTGATTTCCTTGTCCGAAACCGGCTTAATAAGGTTATTCCCATCCACAGCCGACCACGTGAAGTGGATTAGATCTCGGAGATCATCTGCTGAAATACCGTCGAATTCATCAGGGGTATGTTGCAAGAATTCCGAAAAGAAACCCGCAGCTTCTGCTTTTATTTCATCAGCTGATGTTACCACCGTTCCATCTCTCCTCTTGATTTCGCGAATTGAGTTTGTGGCCTCCCTAGAAACAACTGCTTTGTGGAATGTCTTATTCTTCCCATCACCAATCTGCAACCAATGAACCTTGGATCTCTGCTTTAGAAAATTTTCCTCCAGCTTAGAGATAGAATCCCACCGCCTGTAAGCAGATTTTTCCTCTTCCACATTCTGTAAAGAGGGATTTAAAGCATTTACAGATTGCTTCTCAGATAAGACCTCGTATGCCTCCTTAGCTTTCTTTGAGAGATTACCCAATCTATTCTTTGCCAGAAATCGAATAGAAGGTTTAAGAGCACCTCTATCGGTGTATCAAGTGAGTATCATGGGTGGGGATCACCAATTTTTTGGGTTTAAAAAAAATCAAAAAGGCCTATAATTCGATGATCCGCCTCTTGGGGAAGCATTTTTCGAACCCGTTTTGGTTGGGGTTCATCGCTGACGTGGCTTGTTTTGATTGGGTTTAGTTAAAAAAATTTTCACTCGTGTCTCTCTCTTCCCCGAGACAAATTTCCTTGGTCATTTTCATTCTTCCCAAACTTTTTCTCCTTGGTTCTTCTCTGCATGCGATTTTTCCTCAGGCGATTTGTGAGACATCGAACCCAAATTCAGACCGCCATCTTCATCTGCTTCGTTAAGGTTAGTGCTTATCATATTGAAAGTGATTGCCGATGTTAATTTCTGCGATTGGGTTTGCGAAATTAGGGTTTTTTTTTATTTGGGGAAAAACTTTGAGGTTCGATTTTTGATTTAAATTAGGGTTACAGTGTTAATCCGACTAACAATACACTTGTTTGGGTTACTCTATCGTAAATAACATCATCTGATTTAGGGATTTAAGAAATTTTTTATCAAGTTTTCTGGGTTTGATATGGTGTTCGATTCATCTGTTTTCTGGGTTCGATCGATTCATCTGGGTTGGATCGATTCATCTGTTGTTTGTTCTGTGAATGACTTTATGATTTGGTGCGATGGTTAGATGTGAGAATGTTTTTGGGTTTAGTTTGTTAGATGTGAGAATGTTTTTGGATCGATTCATCTGGGTTGGATCAATTCAAGTTTCCTTTGTTTTATTCTGCGATTGTTTGGTGTTAGTTTGTTAGATGTGCGATGGTTAGATGTGAGAATGTTTTTGATGTGCGACTGTATTGATTGTTCATGTGTCATTTATGAGTTTGTGAGATTAGGAATTCGTTTGTTTGTTCATCACCACACATGAACACCTCTTATTCGATTGTTAGATATGAGTATCTTTGTTTGTGAGATGGTTTGATTCTCCTGATCCTCTAATTTGTTTGTTGTTGGTGTTACCGAGCAACTTGGGATTCTCGAGAGGCAGGTGAAATATCAAAAGGAACAGATGTGGAAGATAGAGACTGATATCAAGGGAGAGGTTCGAGGTCTTCGAGGAGAGGTGGAGAGTCTGAAGGAGGAGGTACGAGTTCTTCGAGGACAGTTAACGAGGCTCAACCAGACGTCATTTCAGAAATGAATAAAGGTTAGTCCGTTTTCTAACTTTAAGTTAGGTTATGTAGTTAAGTGATGTGTGTAGTTAGTTAGTTTTTTTGAGCTGGTTTAGGTCTTCTTTATAGTGATTTGATTGTTAGGTGGAGAGTTAAGGTCTTTGTTATCAATTCTTGGTAGGTTAGGGAGTTAAAGCACATTCATTGATTGCATTACAAAAACAGTTCAACTTTTAAATCTTTTAAATCCCATGGGAGTTAAAGACTTTCTATTTTAACAGATATCTATTTTAAAAGCTTTCTAAAACGTTAACCTAAAACCAAACCCCTTCTTTGTAAACAACAAAATGGATTCTCCTATTCCATTTTCTAACTCTCACGGCTTCGTCAATCTTCTAACTAGCCAACAACAAGAAAACCCAAACCCATTTACTTACCCGCACGTAATAGACCTTGGATCATCAGAAACCTTCCCTCGGTTTAGTAGTCAAAGGTCTGATGATCCAACCACACCTGGTGAATCGAGTAAGCAGCTGAGGCGACAGTGGACACCTAAGGAGGACGTGGTGTTAATCAGTTCGTGGTTAAATACTTCCAAGGACCCGGTGGTGAGTAATGAGCAGAAGTTTGGCGCATTTTGGAAGAGGATCGAAACCTATTTCAACGGCACCCTCAAGCTTAGTGGAGAGAATGCTAGATCGGCGAGTCAGTGCAAGCAAAGATGGGGTCGTCTGAACGATCAAGTCTGCAAGTATGTGGGCTGTTTTGAGGCTGCAAAGACACAGCAAACTAGCGGCCAAAATGAGAACGACCTCATGAAGGCAGCTGGAGAGATTTTCTACAACGACTATGGCGTTAAATTCACTCTTGACCACGCATGGAGAGAGCTCAGACACGACCAGAAGTGGTGTGCGACGACAGCTAACAAAGAAGGAGACAAGGGCAAACGCAGAAAGCTGGAGGCCTCTACATGTCAGTCATCCAGCTTTAATGATGATGGCGTCAACGACGATGTTTCCCAGCCACGTCCGATTGGTGTTAAGGCTGCGAAGAAAGCTGCTGCGTCCAAGAATAAAGGAGTCCACAATACGACAGAGCAGGCGGCTGAGTGTGTGCAGAGTGTGTGGAAAATAAAACAAAAAGATTTGGAGATGAGAGACAAGCTAACCAACAAGAAACTGCTCGACAAGTTACTAGCTAGAAGCGAATCACTCTCTGACAGAGAAGTGGCCCTGAAAAACCAACTGATTAATGAATTGTTACAATAATGGTTTAGGTTAATATGACTTGTTACCATTCTCTTTACAGTTTTGAGGTTAATATGATGAGTAGTTCTCTTTGTTATTATGACTTGATAGCTAATCCTTATCTTTTCTCGTTTTATGCAGATGGCTTGGATGAGAAATATGAAGCATTATTATGGATGTCACGGGCTATCTTTCTCTTGTTTTCTCTGCTTTGGCATGTACTTTTATCTGTCCACTTTTATTTGTCTCGGTCTGAACTTTTATTTTGTATTCAAGTGTCACGGTTAATGTTGTAGTGGTTGTGGTGGTGTACTTGTGTTTTCTTGTAAACCACAAAAATTATCTTCCTCTTTGTAAGAAATATCCTCTTTATAAGACATGTTATCATTATAAAGAACTTCAACTACCTCATCTTTTTTTTCTAAACCCTCTCTTTTCTCTCTGCTTCTTTAACGTGTTTCCACAACTCGTTTCCTACTCTTCTCTCATTCAAGCAATGGCATCATCATCACACACCAATTTCAGTTATGACGATCTTGATGACCGGGTTGATGACGCATTTGACGACATAATGGATCAAGCAATGGATGATCTGTATGACACCATTTTGGAGAATCAACCACCAAGAAGAGCAAAGAAGAAAAGAGCGTATATAGAAAGAGAGCGCGAAATAGGTCACATGAATCTATGGAATGACTATTTTAGTGAAGATTGTACGTATCCATCGAATATATTCCGTCGCCGCTTCAGAATGAACAAGCCGTTGTTCATGTATATTGTTGACCGTCTTTCCCAAGTTCCATTCTTTAGGAAAAAAAGAGATGCTGCGGGAAGGTTCGGTCTGTCAGCATTACAGAAGTGCACAGCCGCCATTCGTATAATGGCATACGGTTCAGCTTCTGATGCGGTTGACGAGTACCTCCGACTCGGTGAAAGTACTGCACTCTCTTGCTTGGAGAATTTTGTGGAAGCAATAATCAATATATTTGGAGAAGGATACCTCAGACGACCAACCCCAGAAGATCTTCAACGACTTCTTATTGACGGAGAGCGACGTGGTTTTCCCGGGATGATTGAAAGCATCGATTGCATGCACTGGGAATGGAAAAATTGCCCAACAGCTTGGAAAGGGCAATATACACGAGGTTCTGGAAAACCTACAATTGTCTTAGAGGCTGTCGCATCACAAGACCTTTGGTTTTGGCATGCCTTTTTTGGACCTCCAGGTACTTTAAACGATATCAACGTTATTGATCGTTCCCCTGTTTTCGATGATATTTTACAAGGTCGAGCTCCAAAAGTGAATTTCTGGGTAAACGGGCATCAATACCATTTGGCGTACTACCTAACAGACGGAATATATCCCAAATGGGCAACTTTTATCCAATCTATACCGTTACCACAAGGTGAAAAAGCAACAATGTTTGCCACAAAACAAGAATCCACCCGAAAAGACGTTGAGCGTGCTTTTGGAGTCTTGCAAGCTCGTTTTGCCATAGTCAAAAATCCAGCTCTCTTTTGGGATAAGGTAAAAATTGGAAAAATAATGAGAGCTTGTATCATCATACACAACATGATAGTAGAAGATGAAAGAGCTGGATACACCCAATACGATTTGGATTCTTTCGAACAACGAGAAGGAACCAGAACTTCACAGGTCGATATGACGTATCAAACGACTATGCCTACTAATCTCACCAATTTGATGGAGAACCGGAAGAAAGTTAAAGATAAAAAGATACATGATCAGCTGCAAAATGATTTGGTAGAGCATATTTGGGAGATATTTGGATGATATGTTTATAATTTGCTTTCAATATATATGTTACGTTTTTTTTTACTATGTAATGCTAATGTTTAAGTTTAATTCTAAATTAATAATTATTTTCGAAATTTTATTACAAAAAAAAATAATATTATTTTATTCATATGAACTCCAAATGGAGATCACCATTGGTGATGAAAAATTGATGAGATTCTAATTTTTTCATTCATTAAAATTATATTAATAAAAAATTGGTGATGAACCTCAAGTGGATATCACCATTGAGGTTGCTCTAAGGGCCTTGAGTTTTTTTGCAAACCGGAACATGGAGGAAGTAGAAGAGTAAATAGGTTGAGTGTTACCCCATAAAGTTTCCATCATCGGTAAAAACTCAGCTAACTCAGTAACAGTATTGACAAACTTGAAAGGCTTTTTTCCCTTTTCCTGTTCTACCTCCAGGGGAAATCTACACTGCAAGTGGTCTGAGCATCCACCAGCCTCAAATACACTGTATGACACTGGAAAAGCCTGATCCCATCTGATATTCTTTAAAACTCGATCAAGTTTCTTCGAAATTAGACCCTCTTCCCGTCTGTTACACCATGTGAAGAGCGGACCATGGTAAGACATATCCTCTAATTGGCAATCATTTACTAAACTCTGGAAATCTCTCATTCCCAAAGGAATAGTAGGAGAATTTTCGAAATGAGAATGCTCCTCAGCCTCAAGAATCTCATTAAAATCACCTAAACAGATCCACGGTTTATTATTAATGATTGGAGAGTTATGGTGATCTCTGATATCACTCCATAGCTCGCGACGCTCGTCCGCAAAATTAGAAGCATAGATAAAAGAGCAGAAGAACTCCTCATCCCTATCCTCAATCTTTACTGAAATTGTGATCATCTGACCACTTTTAAAAAATAGAGTAAGCCTCACCTTAGGACTCCACATCACCCAAATACGACCAAGACGACTAAACTCGTAGTTTGTAATAACCGACCAATCTCGACAAATCGACGCAGCCACACGCGACGCCTTTCCCTCCTTTACTTTAGTTTCCAACAAAGCACCAAACTGAAAATCCTGATTCTGAATCCACCTGCGAACAATGGAATGCTTAGAAATTTTGTTTAAACCACGCACATTCCACACAAAGCCCGACATCTATTATTTGTTGGATTTTGGATTCCTTTTGCCCGCAGTGTTAGATCGCGAGTCTCTAACAGTAAGGGCGCCTTGGTCTACCAAAAGTTTAATGGCCGTTTTTGATGCACGAGGGAGAGGAGGACGAGTTCCAAGCCCCTCTGCTTTATCCTTTTGCTTCAAATTCTCAGTCTGACTGGCACCAGTTTCTTCGACAAAGTGAGAAACAGAGCTCGAAACATTCTTCACCTGCAGCTCATCAGATGAGACTGCGTCAGTATCCTGATCCTCAGTACCCTCTAATACTAAGAAACGTGATGGGGAAACAGAGACATCTTCCACTCCCTGTCGATCTGATTGCCTAATAGTCTTTTTTGGAGAGTACCATTCCCATTCCTCCTTCTCATTAATTTCCTCACCAATAACATCTCGGTCTGCATCTTTCTCTGAAAAGTTTCGCAGAGTTTGGGCAGTAGTAGAGATAACATTCGTCTCCTTCTCCACTGGTGGAGTTACAACGGTTATATCCCTGTTTCCCTGAACTGCAGGCGGCAAAACTTTAGTAGTGTCAACTGTCCTTTTAAGAATGGTCTTGGGTCCATTCTTTTTCATACAGGCATCCCCTAAGTGGCCCCATTTCAAACAAAAAGGACACCGAGGAGGAAGCCATGGGTATTCAAATTCCACCACCGAGTCAATACACTTCTCTGAAGTGAACCGAAATTGTGATGGGAGATCTTTTGATAAGTCGACGTCAACAAACACTTTTGCCTCATCAAAACTCTTGCAAATTTCAGTATTTGGGTGAAGACGTTTTGGAAACCCCACAGCACTCGCAAGAAATCCCAAACCTTTCTCATGGAATAGCTTGTGTGGTACGTTTTTCAGACATACCCATAGCGGCATGGATTTGATCTCAGGTTGAGCTTCCTCTTCCACCGGAGACCATTTAGAGACTATCATCGGAACATTCGCAATGTTCCACATTCCCCTTCGTAGAATCCTATTACGGGTAGAAGGATCACGGATTTTAAACTTCATTGTTGTCTGGTCGACAACGAAAACATCCACCTTGGAAGAGTTAGATCCAAGCGGCCAGATTTTGTTTACGATTACGTGAACTTTCGCGACATGAGGAGCGGTCGCAAGGCATTTTCCGATGAGAATTTCCTCCCAGAGAGGAGCAGAGCCTTCGATGATGTCGTCTGGAATACCCACAGTAGGAGATCTTTCAATCACCGAGATCGTTAGGTCATGTTTCAAGAGACCCGACTTCTTCTGAACAATAGCTGAAAAAAGAGGTTTTGATGGTTGCTGAGAATTCACTTCCGCCGCCAGCACATCCGCACTGGAAACAGAGGTGTCCGAAGCCTGAAGCGGAGGTGGAGGAGCCGTCGAATCCACCAGAGCCGTCATCCTTGCAGCCGAAGAAATTTTTTTGAAACAGAAGCCCTAGTCGCCTTTCGAATCACCACGCCGTTTTTTTTTTTTCAGTTTTTTCGAATCACCACGAAGTTTTTCAGTTTTTTCGTTTGCTTTCAAAAAGTCATAATTTCTTGATTTTCCTACTCTTGGGATTTGACCTATGCCACTGTGTTTCTGTCATCTGTGAAAGTGTAAAGTCTGGTGGAATTTGTCTGTTAGTTAAATGTGTTTTCTCTTTTTGTAAGACGATTTGGTCGCAAAAATAGTAAAATGTAGTGAAGTTTATTGGAAGCTAGCAACTACACATCCTAACAATAACCCGTAATTAACGGTCACATGTTGTAGAATCATTTCTGCGATATTCTTATAACTTTCACTCAAATCGGTTTTTGTTTATATAAATTCTTTAGATTTCACGAAAAGAGTTGGTAATCCTTTCAGATAATGCTCAGTTGATACGATTAATATTAAATTATTGAAGTTGAATAAATGCATATTTTATATTATTGTTTTGGTCTTACGAGAGATCTCTGCAATCAAGAACCGGTTACTTCCAAGTTATTTACTTTCTTATACTTAACATGATTCAACGTATTTTACGTGTAATCTTATCGAAATAGAAAGAATATTTTAATTCGAATGCTTCTAGGAAAGTCTGCATAAATCGCAATCAAATCACAAATTATTATGTTCTTTTCTTTTGGTTTTAATATAACATTTGTCACTATTCACTTATTGTTTTTCTCCCATTCCCTTTTCTTCATCATAATCATGACTTTTTCTTTTCATACAAAAAAAAAAGAAAGAACATCATCATCACATAAACAGAGGAATCTCATTATTTCAGGAGGATCAAATAAAACAACAAAAGAGTTCAAGATAAGAATCATCTGTACGGAATAGTGTCATACAAAAACACAGTTAATTAGTGTTATTAAATGAATTCTCAGCACTCTTGTCGGACATTACTAGCTACGGCTCGAGCCCAGAACTTGATCTGATCCTTCATTTCTTTCCTCGAATCCTTAGGAACCCTAGGGGGTGTAGCCAATCCAGCCATGACGCGTGGGTGGATCAGTTGGTCATCATAACCTTTCAGCTTTATAATCTCTTTGGTTGTTTCTATGCTGCTTAACGTTTTACGCAGCGTTTTGGGACTTGAGCTTCCATGTTTGACCATTACAGTTTCTTCTGAGCGCAAGTTTCTTGGTGGTCTCTGCCTTTGATTGCTTGAAACCTGCACCAAGATTCAAAACTTAATTATATATATATGGTTTTCAGATTCTCCGAAACCATGTTCTTTCACATTAAGAGTGAATATTTACCTTTGGAACATCTTGTGAACTAGCGAGGGCTTCGCGGATCAAGAATCCCATTCTTGAATCACTTTCTTGATCTTCAAATTCGTCTTCTTTTCTTATTATGTTATTTGGCATCGTTTGAGTTCTCTGCAAACTAATCTTGGCACTACTACTACTACTTCCTCCTGTCATGCTCCTTTTCTCTCGAACCATAGTTTTCTTCTGCAAGAAACTCTCACCTGGTCTCGTCGGTTCTAGGCTCCTAATCTTCTCAGAGAACTGCCTCGTTAGCTTATTGATCATCTTCTTCGCCTCGCAATCCATTTCTCTTTTTTCTATCCGAGGCGGCAAAGAAGGTGCCCGGATCAAACAATGCTCTGTGGAAGCTTCTTGAATCTTACTTGGAGCCGAACAAGATCCGGATTTGGGAAGAATCATATGTTCCTTCTTCTGCAAGAAAGATCCGACTTGTCTCGGGTCTTGAACCCTAATCTTTTCAGAGAACTGTTTCGTCTCTGATCCGCCTTCACTTCTATCTAAATAGGGGACCCTGATCAAATATCCCCTTGTGGACGCTTCTAGAATCTTCTTTGGATCCGAATCTCCCATTTTTTCAGGAGAAGTCGTCAAAGAAGAAGAAGAAGAAGGGTAAGGATCTGAGTGACAGTACCTTAAGACTCTTGAGCTTCTGGTAAATAAGTTCTCAAAGAACCAGTATTCATCAAGAAGATCATCAATAAGTGATTCACTTGAACTTACAAGATCCATTTCGTTTTCAGGAGATTAGAAAGAAAATTGGGTCTTCGGATCGCAAGACTAGAGATTCTAAAAAGAGAGAAGTTGTGTGTTTATAACAAAGAATGGGTCTTCATATTTTCCTTTGAGGGTGTTTGTTTGCTCATATCTGTGTTGTTTAGTAAACATCCAATGTATTTGAAGCATCGATTCTGGAGATTTATTTGGAAGTTCCCCACATGGGCAGCCTTTCTTCAATTATTTTTTCCATAATTTTTTATTATATATTATGTGGAGTGAACATATTGGTTTTTGCATAGACTATTATAGGGATTTTCCAGGTCAAAATAAAAAAAAAGGATGAAATTGGAACGTATTCCAGGATAGAATATTTACAAGTCTAGAGCAATAGCGACAAATAAATAAATAAATAAATAAAGTATATTGAAATTTATGAGAAAGTAGAGGTATCTAAGTGGATAATAAAATATTTAATTTTGGCAACAACTAAGAAAAATAAGGTTCAACAATGCTATGATTGCTTAAGGGATGGCATAATAATTAATCACTGTCAGGAGTCAGGACCCTCCACAAAGGCATGTGATTTCTCTATTTATATACATTTTTTTTTCGTCCATCATCTAATTATATTCATTAATAGGCGCATATATAGAGTAGAAATTATAGATCTATAGTAGTTAATTATACATATATTTTAAAACATCTATCTTGGAGAATAAATACAAAGATTTTGATATTGACGAAAGTATATAATCAGTATAGAAAAACAATAATCACGACTCGAGTTCTGGATCTCCATCACAAAGCCGCAATGTTTATCAACGCATTGACAAGTGGTTCATTTACTGATAGCAACGCAAGAATATACCATATTTTAATATGCTTTTTTTTTTTAAATGAATCTATCATGGCACTGATTGTTTTGTTTGTATATAATCACGTTTATATTGAAAAGTTGGTATAGCAGATACGACTCAATATTGTGTTTCATGAGAAGTGCCCATTAATTAGGATTTTCTAGCAATATAGTTTTCTACATAATGTGTGTAATAAAAATTAACATGGAATTATGGGAGTTGCCACTTTCTGCAACTCTCATTCTTCCCTTTTTCTCCTATTAATCAAATAAAAGATTTATAGTTTATTGTTCTTAATAGTTTTTCCCTTTCTTTACATTTTTGCATTATATTCTATCTTGTTAATTAGAGCTCTCAAGAGCTAGAATTTATCCTTACTTTGAATTTTATTACAAAAATGATGAATAAAAAAGATACTTTAATATTTGGTCAGTTACGTTTGTCTTTTTCCATTATAAATTTTATTTATACACCTAATCTTATGCGTGTTGCAAAATCAAGCATTAATTGATATCATGCTTCATCCTTCAAAGATAGATCCGGAAAAATGTGAAAATGAAGAATGTTTCATTATAATCCTACTTGTACGTATTAATAACAAGATATTAATCTCAAGTCGTAAACAATGATTCAGCATTATATTAATGTATGTAGTACGTTGACATTGAAATGTTTCCATAATGAAAATTAGTTTAAGGTTCCAAAAAAAAAGAGAAAATCAGTTTGAGTTTTTCTCCTCCCGCTAGCCGCTAGGTAACGCTTTGAACTTGATTTGCTCTCTGGAACTTTCAGCAATTAAAAGTGTTTCTACTTTCTACTTAATTCTGTGAAGTCTTTGATCACTTATAAAAGAAAAATGAAAGTCTTTGTTCACTTATCCGAATAGATTGTTTACTCACAAGACCGTCTCTATTTTTATTAAGTTTAAGCAAAAAAATGGTTTTTAAGGGTATAATTTGTTTTTTCTTTCTTTTTTTGAGCTTTTTTCACAAATATATAAAATTGTTTTTTAGTTTTTGGGTTTTTTCTGAAACATTAATTTTAAATGTTTTAACGTGGATCCAGGACGTAGGCACCTCTCGCCCCTCACAGAGCGTAAAATGTGTGCTGTTTAAGTGTTTAGTTAATACTTGGGAAGTAGAAATGATATGCGCCTAGTCTATCCCAGAAAAAGTCGCAAACAAAAAACAACAAAGTTCTGTGAGAAAATAAAATTCTGTTATAGCTACTGTTTCGGTTTACGTTAAAGTTTAGGTGTTTTGATATCATGTTCACTTCTTCGTTGAAAACATGCGACATATTAGCAATGAATAGTTTAATATAGAACACGATATCATCTCAAATACCGTGTTTTTATTGTTCGTATTCTCAGAATTTCATTTTAGAATCTTATTGAGTCGGTCAATTTATCAAGTCATCATGGGTTTAAAAGGAATTTCTATTTATTCAGAGGATTATTAGAATTCGTTTCTGACATGTGACTCAGGTCAACTTCCCAGCCAATGATCTCTTTGTGAAATGACCGATTATAAATGCGGCAGAATCTTCGTTGAATAGTGTATTTACATGTTAAAATCAGAGTTAAACTGAATAAAAAATTAAAATCCAAAATTGTTTACTTGAAAAAAGTTTGCAAATTTGATTTAAGTGTCACAATATCTAAAAATCTCACATTAGAAACTTGGATGAAAATCATTAAATATATATATTGGAGAACTCATATGTAGTAGCATTGAATACACTATAATGTATGGGAGAGATGATCGACCAATCACATACACGTCTCGCGCCGCCTGGCCGGACTGAGCAAGGCTCGGTCTCAGTCTCAAGTTGGTAGATGGGCCTACGATCCAAAAATGTGTTTTTTTGGACTAAGGTTGTTTTGATATTTAGTATAGTTCATAAATCACAAATATGTTTTCATTTTCAATTTTAAAAATCATAACTGATATAAAATATGATAATATTGACACTAATTCGCAGATCAAGACTATAAAAGGAGAGTCTCTCCTTCTCATTTTCAACACACAACACAGCAAAAAAAACAACAACAATCTCCTTCTTCTTCTTTCTTCGAGTCTGAAAGTACAACACAAGGTTAGGGTTTGCCAGCTCTTGATTTCAATTGGTACGAGACAAAAAAAAAAATATATAACAATTTTATCATGGAATTCTTGAATGTATCAAACCGATACAGTATGAGCATTTGAAAAGTATTTAAATTAAAGTCAGAGGTCTTAATCTATCTTAACTTTTCGTCATCTTCTGGCCATTTCATTTCTACTAACGGTATTGTTATCATCGAGTTTGTTTCTATTATATATATTTACCATTTTAATGTTAGAAGTCTCTATTGTAGTAATTTGTATTCTACAAAAGCAGTTTCGTCAGCCATTCGAATTTTGGTGTAATCTTCAGTGGCTAATACCCATTTTTCATTTTGAATTTGTTTAAAAAAATTATTTTAATGTGCTTGGGTGACGTAAGGCACCTGAAAATAGATAGGTACGTACATATTTTTCTTTCCTTGACCCCGGATTGATATTCTATTGTTTTTTATATTTTATTGAAGGAAAAAAACAATATTATAAGAAGATTAAAAGAAGGACAAAAATTGGAAATGGCTGAATCATAAGAAGATTATGAACAGATCGAGCTACAGATGCTGGTTATTGAAAAGCCTCTTGTAAAGACAGGGAGATTAAATAAAAAATAAAAAATCGAAGTCATGTCTGGTTTTAAGGATGAAGAAGACTCTTGTCTTCTACATAGGTAGAGGCGTAGAGCTACTAAAGGCTCAAGCCGAAGGTAGAGAAGAGCTCTAGCATCTATAGGGTTATGCATGGCAAGAACAAAAGCTGTTTACGATGGTAAATTTTTAAAACTACTGTGGGCTTGCGAAAAAAATTGCTGGGCCTATGTACAAACTGGTCTGTGAGCCGATGGAATTAACGCTTACGAAAAGAAAATGTTTAAACCTTGGATACAGACGAAAATTCAAGCCATTTCTTCTATTTTTCTTAGCAAATAAATAACTAAAGACAATAATAATTTATACAATCTTATTGGAAAGACCGCTGACACCAATGTCGCCTATGTCGCTTCATCCCGGAGTATACGCCATTACGTTTTCTAGCTCAATATTCTATCTATTTCACCTGCAATTTTTCTTATGATTCAAGCCATTTCACACTTTTATCAATGGCACTATATGACAGCGTTTATATTTATAATTATTTGTTATGCTTTATAGAATAAGTGGATATGATACAAATCTGCAAGTAAAATTGTAGATGTTTTAAAAAGATGGGAGTATTCTCCACTTATTCTCGTCGGCCCAAATTCCTCCAATGTGCTAACGATGATCACTAGGTTTTTTTATTAAAGGATCACTAGATTTGATCGAACTGCAGTAGATATTTAGAACATAGAAATTATTAGATTTAGAGAGAGAATGGTAAAAAATGTTCTGTTATTCAACTGTAAATGTCAGTGTACAAATATATATAGACTTGGTTAAGTAAAGGGAAGCTTAACCAATAATAATCAACCGGTTAACCACCTAACTCTAATACCCTCCCCTCAAGTCGAATTCTTCAAGGAGGAAGAAAGAGACTTGAAAATGCGAACTTCGACAAAAGAAACTTGAAAGTCTTGGGAGGAAGAGCTTTGGTGAACAAATCTGCCAACTGGTTTTCAGTCTTCACATGCATTAAGTTCAGAAAACCAGCCCTCAGTCTTTCACGAACTAGATGACAATCATTTTCTATATGTTTTGTTCGTTCGTGAAATACTGAATTTGAGGCTATTTGCATTGCTGAAGTGCTGTCACAGAAGAGATTAGCCGGACCAGTTACAGGTATCTTGAGATCTTGTAACAGTTGATTTAGCCATACCAATTCACAAGTAGTATCAGCTAATGCTCTGTACTCTGCTTCAGCGCTACTTCGAGAAACTGTTTTCTGTTTTCTTGACTTCCATGATATCAACGAATCACCCAGAAATACACAGAAACCAGTTGTTGATCTTCTCGAGTCTGGACAACTAGACCAGTCAGCATCGGAGAATCCTTGTAATCGTATATCTGAATTGGCTGAGAAGAATAAACCACGACCCGGATCTCCTTTTAAGTATCTTACTACTCGAAGAGCAGCTTCATAATGCTGTGTCCTTGGCTTGGAGAGATATTGGCTCAGTTTATGAACAGCAAAAGTAATATCAGCTCTCGTAATAGTAAGATAAAGTAATTTTCCAACCAACGCTCTATATACTGTC